ACCGTCCAACTGATGGTTTCCTTTAAGGGGAGCCCCAGGTTCATTCCTTCATTCCGCACTTCTCGCACCAGCAAGAAGACAACTGCTGCGCGTAACCAATGAAGCTTCAACCTCAGAGATAGGCCTCGGCTGACATGAGGTGAGCCTTGTGCCCTAGGCGCCGCATGTGCTATGGCTGCTTCCAGAAGCGCTGGCTTTGGACCAAGGCGACCAAGTCAAGAGAAACGTGGTGCTTGACTTCCGCTTGCCGCAAAGAACCCCCAGAAAAAAAGCTTCCGGGCCATGTGCTTCTGACAAAGCCCAGCTCAATCAGATTAAAACATATTGCACCTGCAAATTGGTGCGGCATGCCAAGGAAAGGGGGCAACCCCGTACAAAGCCCATTGACAGTGGAACTCTGAAAAATGCTCCTGCCCGCTCCCTCACAGAATCTTCAAAGGGTGCCAAAACACCAGGATGTCCAAACGGGAGAAATAGCCATCATCTATGCAAAAGGATCTCACACCATCCCAAAAGGGGAAGTTGCTAACCACTTGACTTGGCCAAACACCCAAGTCGATGAATGCCACATGCCACACTCGATTCAAGCGTCTTGCTGAGCCAGGTCAGCGTGGTGCGAATCAGGTCCACCTCCGATGCAGATCCGTCCGAACTATAGTTTCAACCGCAATTTTATGAAGCTACCTCCTTTGGGCTCCCCTTTAACAGGGATCCTTACATTATACACTTGAACATTGCCTTGTCAATGGTGCTTCCCCTTATTTTGGTGGGAAAAGCAATGTTGCAAATGGGCAAAATGTATCTCTTAAGGAGCCCTGTTTAAAGGTCAGGGTTTGGCTGAAGCACATTTGGCCGGTTGGTCCTCAAGGAAAACGGGATCCAAGTTGGGGCGGGGGGGGGGGGGGGCAAGTTGCGACCACAAACGTAGAGAGTGAATCAATCAACTTGGGTTGGTCTCAACATGGGATTTTCCAATTTTATTTCGCGGGTCTTCCCTTTGAAGCAACTCTGATAGGGGGTATCATCAAAAGCAAATCATACATACGACATATTGATATTTGAGAGAAAAAAACAGCTTTTGGTTTCTTCCAAACCCGGCGGGCCTTTGACGCATCATGAGTAAGTAAGTAGTATCTGTACCAGCTGAATGAACATATTTCTGCGATGTGGCCAATCGGAATTTCCCACCTGGGGGCTCTGCTCCAGGACCAGCTGCGCCATCTTCACGCTACTGGCGGTCAGTGAAACAGAAAAATGGGGGGGGGGGGTGCCCGTTGTCTTTGACTTATACGCCTTTGGGTGTGTCGGATGTTTTTGCAGCACTTCTCCATATATGGATTCGGTCTTCCTCTTGGTCTCTCCTTTGAAACCCACGCAACAACGTGTACCAACTCAAAAAAGACAGGCACATTTGGACATTCTGGTGCCCTTGCACAATGCATTGCTTCCACTAGATGAAAAGGAGCCACAAAGTCACACACTGGGATTGAGGAATCTGTGCCCCTAAGGCACACCAATTCACTGGAAACCCCTACCCCCTCTTCTTGCTACCAAATGAACAAGGTCATGCGGTTCATTGAGCTTGGAGCGGGGTACTACAGGTGGCATGAGAACAGACCTTGGCAGGGAAGATGTCACAGGATCTTGTGAAAGCCATAGCGGTTCATTCAAAATCGGTCTATGTTTCAAGCTTGTGGCAGCAAACTCTCAGTCCGAGCAAACTTGACCATTTTCCGATGTTCTGGCTCTGGTGTGTTTTAGGGTTTGTGGAATTGCTTCGCAATTTTCAGGCAGTTTTGTAGTCTTACTGCTCCCTTGTAGTCTTCGGACAGTTTAGTAGTCTTCCTGCAGTGTGATGTCGTCTTCCCCGCTATATAGTTGTGTGAGAGCTGCTAATGGTTCCGAAATGTTGGAAGTCAGACCTGTGTTGTCTACGTGTCTACTTGCCCCATACGTCAATCAAACTAGGCATCATCGATGTCGCAAACTTATCTTCTCAACATAGATCAGGCCGAAACGTTCAAACCGATGACTGATTGTTTGTAGTCTTGCACTCTACTGGCTGGTGGTTCAGTCTTGTAGTCTTCCTATGGTCTTGCTGTCTTCTTTTCCTGCATCTTCTGGTCGCATGGTATTCTTATAGTCTTCTGGCAGTCCTCCCTGTGAATTGATCTGTAGTCATGTCGTCTTCCCGTGCTCTTCCCGTACTCTTGCCTTCCTGATTGTGTCCTGTAGTTTCGTAGTTGTCCCATTGGTTTGTGAAAGCCTGTCCTGTTTCCCTGAATGTCAGCCCTCATATATTTGCAAAGTTTCTTACATTGATAGACTTATTCCTAATCAATCAAGAGCCCCCCATATTTTACATAGTTCATTATCTTGATAGACTTATGTATCCTAATCACCCAACTACCTAAGGACAAATCGAACAACAAGGAACGCTCATGTTCTACCAAACTACAGAATTGACCGATTGCGTTTCTACATATCTGTTGAACGTTTCTCAGACTTTTAGGCGTCGACCCGTTGACATTTTGTGCAAGATGCCCGCACATGCCAACAATTGCAGCCATTGTCTCACCTGCCCAAAAGGACATGGACATCATGTCTTCATCTTTTGGGACCTTGACCAAACTCCGTGGCAATGCCAGCTTTTTCTGACTGCTACACAGGCATATGGAGGCTAAGTTTGAACGAGTTTTGCAGGGGGATAGTTCCCCTTGCCATTCGCATGGGATGCAGGCGGCGCATGGAAAGGCACCACGCAGGCATATCAGCAGTATCGGATTGTTGCGGCACGAGTTTCATTTCAACTGGAGCGCCCTTGTCACGTATGTGGATATTAACAGGTGAGCATGTCCATGCTGGGCTGGAATCTTGCTTTGCGTGCCCAGACTCGAAGTACTTGGTTCAGCTTGTTTGACGCTGCACATGTCGACTTGAAGAATCAGGGCAGCATTCCTCGAATGCCATTTCTTTGAGGGACAATGATTTGTCAACAACCCACTTGCCCAAAGGGAATTGACCCTTTTGACCTTTTGGTTTTCAAGCGTTGGCCCCAACATGGCATTCAACAAGCAAGGCCCCAAACAAGCATCCTAAGATTGATGTGCTTTTTCTTGTTGGACCTCTTCCCCTCCCCCCCTTCCCCCTCCCTCATCCCGCAGCCACCAGACGTTGCCGCAACGCTCCCATTCGCTTCGAGGGGCTCTTTCGCATCCATGGGCTGGCCCAGAAGGCCGAGGCTCGGCTCGAACTCTTCGCTGCCGCCCTGAGGCCGCAAAGCCGGAGAAAGTAAGACAATGTCCGGCGAAAACCTTTGGGGCTGTAGGTTGCTTTGGGGGAACCATCGAACCACATCTCATCATTGTGAGACTCTTTTCGGGGTTCCATGAAATCTCACGCCCCTGGTTCAGTTTTGGGCAGCTAGCCGGGTTTGGCAGTTCGCTTGACGCGCTGTTTGGCACATGGACTGAGATGAATTGTTCTGAGCGTTGGGCGCGTCCTAAATGCCAAGGGCCTAGGGGGACAGGGGAACTTCTTGCAGAATTCAACCGCAACCCCCACTCTGATGCAAAAAGCGGCCTTATAAGGGGCTCCCTCAAAAACACGAAAAGGCCAGGTGTCGGCGACCAGGATCTGCGCCAGCATCTTCTGCATGGTGACCATGAACCTTAAGACAGGAGTGGTTTGGTTTGGACCATACTCTCAAGGTACTTCGTTCACTGATTCACTAAGGTTGGCTAAACCCACCCTGGGAGGGAAAGGTTTGGAAACCGAAAAGGGAAGGGCAAGACGAACCCCTGCCCCCCGAAGTGGAATTCGGACCGTTTCCCAAAAGAAAAAACAAAAGCCTTCCACGTCAAAAAACCATCTTTTCAACCTCCATTGGAGCAAACATGGGCGTGTCCTTTTTTGAGGGTGCCCCTTTTGTGGATGGCTTCGGTGCCCGAAAAGTCGCCATTTTGCGGCGGCCTCCCCCCGAAAAAAAGGCGCCGAAACCACGCCCCGAGGCGGTTTTCGGTTTTTTTCGCTTCCGCGCGGCGTGGTGCGGAGCTCCGGATCCGAAGCCACCCAGCTCAAGGCCCGCTTGGCCACCTGGAGGGGTCACAAAGAGACCAGCGACGAGGTGCAGACCCAAACTACCCGTGCCACTTGGAGGTAGGAGTTTTTTTTTTTTTTTTTTTTTTTTTTTTTTTTTTTTTTATTTAAGTGACTCTTTTCCGGCAAGACAAGAACAAGTGAGCAGTTGTTTTCTAAACCCAGTTGCGGCACTTAGTGGAAACGCACAAGACAAAGTACGAATTCTGGGGTCTAGGGTATGTTGTGATCTGGGGAACCTTTGCCTCCACCCGACCAAGTGCTTGGATCACCACCAAGAACAAGCCCTGGAAGAAGCGCAAGGGGCGACCGTCTTCGGCCAAAGGCTGGGGAAGATTTTAGCACTTTGTGTTTCCCAATTGGTATTTTGCCATTGCGAATCCTCCTGGAAGGCCAACATGTGGTATTTTGCCGTGACCCTGGTTTGGCATGCCGCACGGACATGCCGTGATTAGCAAATTCTAGCGTTTCGCATCATCGTCGGGAGCTAGGTGGTGAATTGCATTGCTCAAGTTGGATGGACTAGGATGCTTCGGTCTGGGTATGATGGGGACTTAGGATGCTGGGTGCAAGGTGGATTTAAGGTGGCCTACAGTTAGTCGAAAGTTACTAATAGGCTAGCTAAGGTTAGGGTTCATCTGGTTTATCTCATAGTTTAAGGTTCGTTTACAGGAAAGTTACTGTAAACTTGGTTGCAAAGACTCGGGAGCTGGTTGTGCGGTTGGATCATGGACTGGGCGCGTTGGTTGGTTGATTGGTTTGGGGCACCCGGATTGGACTGCGCGGGGCGATTTTGAGTTTCTGCCAACATGATCTCCTCCATCCGTCCAGGCGAACTGAGGCTTAGCGTGGAGGCCGAAACCCCAAAGCGCTCGTCACCAGCTTCCGGGGGGAAAAATTCATTAATAAAAAAAGGACAACAAAAAAACGACAAAAAAGAAAGAAGGACAAAAAAAAACAAGAAAACAAAAGAGAAAAACAAAGGAATAAAAAAAAGATAAAAAAGAGAAGAAAAAGAAAACAAGAACAGAGGGAATCGGAAACAAAAGAAAAAAAACAAAGAGAAAAAAAAGGAGAAACAAAAGAAAGAACAAACAAAAAGGAAAAACAAAGGAACAACCAAACGACCACACAAAAACCCCGGCCTGCTTCGAAGCCTCCAGTCCCACAGACTGGCCCTTGGACCCCACCACCAGCAGGTCCACAAACTTCCGCTCCTGGGGCGGGCGGAGAGACTTTTTTCCGCGCCTGGGGGCCAATTTTTGTGTCCACCCAATGCAGCCCGAAAAGGGGACACCAGTGAGATTCCCATGTTCGACTTGCTTCAGGTCTTGCAACCAAATGGCCAAGCAATGCGGGATAGCCAGGTTCAGGTCAAGCGACATCCGCAAAATGAAGCTCCAGATTCTGCTTTGAGGGGAACCCGTTGAGAAACAGGCGCTGGTCGAACCCCGCAAGTCTATGGTATGGACAGACCTTCAGGGTAGGTGCACCAGCCAAGGCTCCACATTGACCTTGTTCACGACCATCCTCTCCACCCGGTCGCCGACACGGTACTTCTTCCAATCTGCCAGCGGCACGCTCAGCTTGCCGTCCTGGGGTCGATTATGTCAAGCCCTTTGATTCCTACAACACGGACTTCCTGAATTGGCCCAACATCTCCAGACGCTTGACATTGGAACTGATCTGATGACTCGGAGGGCCAACTTCAAGCTGTTGGACTGGCCTCCAGCTGTCCAAAGTGGCCCTTCCAAATCGCAACGACTCATCTTGGTTCCCTTCTTTGGGCGCCGCCTTGGCGACCCCATTCTGCTACAACGATGCAGGACGCTGCGCTTTCGGCTGCACGGCGCACGCTTTGCCTAACCCAGTCAGCCACTGCTGTCCTTCTCGCAACCAAAGTTCACGTAGACCCCGAAGGTTGCAGAGCTGTTGGTGACGGTGCCGCTGACGATGGAGCCCATCTGAGCATAAATAAGGAATGCCGCAGACACATGCAAACTACTCTCCCCTGGGTTTTGCAAGAAAAACAGCTAGCAAACAACTTCAAACCAGCAGCAAGCAACGCGACATCAACAAAAAACAGCGAGAGCGACGGCGAGAGCAGCAACAAAAGCAGCAACAACAGCAAGATCAAGAGCAAGAGCAGAAGCAACAGCCCCCACACACACACACACAAACAACCAAGCAAACAAGCACTCGTACTCAACACGGGAAAACAACAACAACCGAAGTGCGACCCGAACTTCGACAGCTGGGTTGACCTGCACATCTGCAGCCGGATGGCGGCCACTTGGGAGATCGGCTTTCCGCCCGTGTGCTTCCAGCCGCCGTCCGGCCTCTCTTGCTGGAAGGCTGCCTGGCAACCGGGGAGCCCGTTTTCCACCCACAAGCCTCATGTTTCACCTCCATCTTATGGTTTCTGGGCCCGAGAAAACAAACAAGCCAAAAACTCGCAGGGCCCCCTGGCAACATTGACCGCTGGCTTCACCGTGGTTTTTTTCCCCGGCATCTGGCGCCGCACCTCTTGAAGGCCCGCAACGGGGCTCTCTAAAACTTGGCCCCACCAACTCACCCGCGTTGACCTTGCAGCATTCCATCTCCTGCCTTGTTTTCGCGCTCGGTTTCCGCCGTTTGGCATTTCCACCAGGAGTCGATCAAATTCTGCGCGAGCCTCACTCTTGACTTCTCCTGGCTCGAATGCAAGATTCTGAGTCAAGGATACTGCTTGACTCGGCTTAGCCAACAGGAGCATCTTTGACCGAGAAGCACACCAAGTGCCAGGATTCAACCGTGCCGAGTGGCCGGACAGCGCTTGAAGAGCTCCTTGGACCTTGCGAGCTGAAACAACTTTGACATCACGAGCATTCGCGAGCAGCGACGTGCAAATGATTCAATGATGGTGCAAGAACATCGCCTCTAAAGGCCCACGCTTTTGAGCGACTCAGGCTTGCCGTTCACAGTGGTACATTTAGTTCGGGAACAACGAAGCAATGGTACTTCAAGCTTGGTCACTGCTCGGTAGCCAGTGGACATCACAATTTTAGAGTTGCCCCAAGCTGCAGCATCCAGCCCCCCTCCGTCGTCCCCAGGAAAGCAACTTGGCAAGTATACGCGAAGATCAGCACCACTCGTAGGTGAGTTCGAACCGTGGTAAACCAAGGCATACTTGCAATTACCCCCCTAAATTCCACGGAACCAGAACAGCCCTCCTCCATTTTGGGCTCCATGTTCATCTGCCAGGGGGCTAAACCGTAGCATGTCTCTCTCCCTTGGCAGACGAGCAGCTCGGACTCGGTGCAGCCATGAGAGAGAAGCTTTGCCCAGTGATCCAACAGCAGTTCCTGTCGTACCGTCTCGCGGCTCTTGTTCTCCTGTCGAGAAAGCTAGACGGAGGGAAGCCGCAAGAACCTCCTGAGCGGCGTGCCTTTGACACCATGGGGGGCTTCCACAAGAACCCACTGACAAGCTGAGACAAATGGAGAAGCTGTCCATTTTCATGCTTGCACGTTGACATCAGCTCACACACCGCCTAGCCACAGCTTCGGAGCCTGAACCGCTCATGCATCCCTTTCAGTCCACCACAAATTGCTTCTTTTCACGCCCCATGTTGTGCTTGAGTTCCTCTCGGGCCCCGCAGACTTGGGGAGGAGGGAGGGCAACTTCGCGAGCGAGCATGCGATGGTCGTGCGATGCGTGCTGGTGCTGCCTTCTTGAAAGTGTCGTCTGCTGGCTTCTCGCCCTCAGCTGCCGGCACATTGACCTCGAGGGGTCCATCCAGGAGCCGAACGAAGAGGTTCCGAAGGTCTGGAGCAGCAGGTCCCATCCTCAGCATCCCCACCCTCAAGTGGGAAAACCACCCACAAGTGGACTTACCCTGTGCCACGGGCAACGTGTATGGGGAAAGGTGTCTTTTTTGGGGGCGGTTGAAGTGTGGCCCCTTCTGGTCTACATTTGATGAGCGAGTGGGGATGAACAACCCATTTGCCGAGCCCAAACTGAGCACACCGATGGAAAAAACAAAGCTGAGCTGGTCGAATTTGGGGCGATGCCTGAGAGCCTGAGAACCATCGCAAGACATAGCCAACCTTCCGTCTGCCCAGCATCAAAGCAGCAATGCAACCGACTTAGCTGAAAACAATTCGCCCCCGGCAATGACACGGCCCTATTTGGGGACCCTTTTGGTGGCAATCATTTACACGGGGATTGATGCTCACCAACCCTATCTGACGGTGTTCCTCAAAGTTCATGACCCCATAAGGCATCTCCCTTCATCCTCCTCCCCTGACTCAGCTAGCTTGAGCTCATGCGTCGTCTGGTGACAGGCCCATGTCTGGCGCGTAGCCTGCCAATGCCTTGCCGCAGCGACGCCAGGGTTGCATGGGTTGGTTTGGTGTTGGTTTGGTGTTGGTTTGGTGTTGGGTGTTGGTTTGGGGTTGGGGCCAACTGGTCTATCCCTGAGACTTTTGGGCTGAACCTTGTGATGGGCAACGTGGCGTTTCTCCGTGCAATTCAGAGTCATTGCGTTGCATGCCAATGGCACCCTTCTCGCCCAAAACTGCGCAGAAGCCCCCCTGTTCTGCATGTTGGCGACGTCACTGAACCGCCCGAGCTTTGGTGTGAGTCATCATGGAACAAGTGATGATTCCATCGGCCGGGCGTCTCCCGATACTCCACACATTTAAGCGCCAAGGTCGCATAGAAAAAACAGCAGTGGAAAAAAAGGAGCACCTTTTTTGCTATTTGGCTTTGAAGGTGGCGTCCCCCTTCAAACCAAAAGAAACAAGGAGGCAAACCACCAGGTGTGTGGGTCAACATGGCAAGCAAAAACAAGCTAAAACAAACAAGCAATCACGTAAAACCCAAAAAATAAGCAAGCAACGACTGTTCAACCAAACAATCAAGCAAGTAAGCGAGCACACAGATTACAAACCAACCGACCAAACAAAGCAAGGCAAACCAAAGCGGTTCGACTCGTTCTCACCGACCTGCGCCATCTGGCCCAAGCTCTCCGCCACCCCATCCTTCAGCAGGCGCTGCTCCATGGCAGCGATTTCCTTCGCCTGGAGACGGAGGCAAGCCACGCCCGACTTTGGGTGGAGGGATGGATGGGGGGTGGAGGGGGGACTGGGGGGTGGAAGGGGGGGGGGGGGGGTGAAGACTTGGGGCCTTGGTGTAGAACAGTCCGCCTTCTGAATTTGAAGGTCGTCCAACATCTAACGGCATAGCATAGCGCATTGATTTTCTGTTGCACCTTGCCTCAAAGGAGTTTGGTTGCAAACAGCCATGATTTGGTCACCACTCTCGAAAGCTGGGCCTATTTCGCAAGCATCTTCATGGAACCCACACGGTTGCGATCCCCGTCCACGAAGTCACTAGCCGAGCTGCCCAAACATCCTGCTCGGAGGGACGAAGCAGCTTCACCCAGACTGCCAATGCACAGCTCAAGCAGCCTTGGCATCAAAAGGGCCAGGCCAAAGACCTAGCGAATGGAGCGCAACTTTTGTCACAATGCCCGACATATGAAGCAGTGCAGATTGAACTGGCAGAGTTTCGCACTTGCCAGAAGCCAAGCCAAGCAGCTCCTCGCGTTGGAATCTTTTGCTGTCAGCGCATCACTCCATCTTCGCAAGACCTGCCACTTTCGGGCATCGATTTTTGAAAGCTGGCCGCCCTTAAGGGGATCCGCCAAGAGCAGCGCCCAAATCCCATTTGGCTCCTTCTATCAGCCTGGTTGCAATGGCTTCTAGGATTCAGTACGCCGCATGATACCGGGTGGTACAACTGCCTCCTACTAACAACCATCAATTCTGACAGGCAAAAGGTGTTCCAATGTCTTAACCAAACATCGGAAGTTCCAGGGTTGTCGATGGTCTGGAGCGGTTAAAGGAATAGGGTTTCCGGAGACCCCCTTCCTGTTCCCAAAGGAGGCCGGGCATTTCAACACAAGCCGGTGCGTTGATTCTCGGTTGAGACATGAACCCCTTTCGGTATCTTATAGGGAAGCTCTTGCCAGAAAAACAACTTTGGCAATTGCACTGACCAACACGAAACCCCAATAAAAACAAGTGGTCTGAGAAGCCTCCTTCCGGGGAAAGAACGGACACTCTAAAGGTCCCCCATTTGGGCTCCTTCCATGCATTTGCAGCGGAATACGCCCACGCTGCCCAGCACTGCAAGGAAACTCTTCGCAGATTCGCCTGAAGATTCCGCGATATGTTCGAAGATTCAAGCACAGCACAAGAAAACACACTTGAAATGCGCCACCAACATGTCCACCAAATTTGACAACAACTGGGATCCCCGCCACAGTTGATGCAGAACAAATATCAACTTTGGCTTGACTTGAAACCTGGGTCTCCCCCCGTTCCCCCACAAACAATACAAACATGGACCACCCTTTTCCCGTTTTGCAGCCGAAACCGAAACAAATTTCTCAAACATCGAGTTGGTCGCCTCCTGCAGGAAGGTTTTCAGCACCTGACCATCGCACTCCTCCAGCGACATGCGCCCCACACAGCTCACCACGTCCGTGAAGTTACCTCACCCGACGTCGAGACGGGCCCTGGAGAAACACAGAACATGGATGCGGAAGTGCGCAGGCGGAATCTAGAATGACCAACATGGTGCTTGCAGGACGAAATGTTCAGCTTGCGCCAGGAGAAACGCAAATCCGGTCAGCCAGATTTTTTTTCCGCAGAACACTACCTCGAGCTTCCCAGCAAGCGACCCAGTGTCACACGCACACGCAGAGGCGCAAATAAGTCATACGCACACGCAGAAACAAACAGCACACAAAAACAGCGGTGCGCGCACGCACCAAACACACACACACACACACACACACACACACACACACACACACACACACACACACACACACACACACACACACAAAAAAAAACAAACACACACACACACACACACAAAAACAAACACACACACACACACACACACACAAAAACAAACACACACACACACAAACACACACACACACACACCACACACACACACACCACACACACACACACACACACAACTACGCGCAAACCGGCCACACATGAACCATGTCTACACACAAACATGTGTGTGTGTGTGCGCGGCATCTATGCAAGCAAACCCACAAGCTAACACAAGCAAACACACACACACACACACATGGCCACTGGCCTCTTTGCTTGCAAGTAGCTGAAGGATACCAGCGAGATGAGGTCCGCCAAAACCCTGCCGTCGGTGCCTTCCTTGTTGAGCTTGGGGTCGGTGCGGGCTGCGAGGCGACAGCATTGCAAGATGCTCGTCAAGGCTTGCACGACATCAGCAACCTGCAAGTGGCTCGGAATGGCTTCGCACAGGCAACTGCGAAAGACGCTGACATTCGAATGCCTTTACGATAAGGGGCTCAACCCCAAGCAAAGGGATGTTTTGACCATGGCAAAAACGGAAATTCGGTTGATGGCTTGAACCATTCCTAACCGCATTTAAATGGTGTTTCTAGGCACGCATGAACGCTCATCCATAGTACCACCAAAGAATGCTGGGGAATTACACAAAGCCGATATCCATCAACCTGCAACACCGAAGCAGCACCTTCGTTGCTCACGTGGAGTCCACAATCCAAAGAGCACATAGAAAGGGGCTTAGCGCTCTTTGAGTTGGGTCACCCGTTCCTGAGGAAAGTACTATGGACAAGATCCTGAGCCGGGATGGACGAAACACTCGGGATAAACCACCTGGTGTGAAGCCGAGTTGTGTCCATCCACAGTAAGACCGTAACTAGCTGGGTCAGCTGTCCCGGAAAGTAAGACCCCCATGTCCTCCTCAAACCACTGGACTGCCAAGATTTTAACCAATGCTTACCAAGTAAAGCTCCAAAATGGCCGAAGGCGCGTTGGAGGTGCACTGCTTCAGCGCTTGCACGGACTTCTGAGTCGCTCCAGGCACCATCGCCAGCTTGGAGACCACCTGCCGAATTCGGCCAAGGAGTGTCGTCTTCGGATTTTTGGCGCTACCTTCTGGGGGAGGGGGGGGGGGTCCATTCCTCTACAGTCTTCTCAAAGGAAAGTAAACATAAATGGAAGTCCATACAACCCTCCCCAATTCCAGTTAAGCATTTTTCAGGAGTAGGGATGTGAAATTGCCCGACCTGGACCCAATTGCACACCAGTGGAACAGATTGGCACCATGTCCTTTCAAGGGGTTGCTTCCACGTACTGGGGAAGACGCAAACAAAGGAACAAAAAGGATTTGAACCAGCTGATTGTTGGGGGGTTGGCTAAAAAAGGATGGGAACTCTCTCTTTGTTGCGCGTCCGCAACGCACGAAAAAATAACCAAAATCAAACCCACTGAACAGACTGGAGAAAGCATGGCAGCAACTCCTCGGGACAACATGCCAAGGCCTGGAAGGCTTAGGGCAGTGTCGGCCCCTGTGTTTCGGAAGCACCCGGAAAAAGTGGACCCCCCTCCATGCAGGATATGCGCTTGGCCACCAGGGGGCAGATGTAGCTTGACGGAACCGCCCCTTGCTTATGGGTACTCCTCTTCCATATTCTGCTACAATACTTGAGCGGTGGGGATATGGGGATGTCTCAAAATAGCCCCCCCCCCCCAGCAAAAAAGAAATGAGAAGAGAAGATGGCCATTTCTTTCGATGTCCCTTTGAAAACGGGTACCCTCAAAATGGCACAAACCCATAATATTGATCGCCGCCTTGGGCAAGTAGGGCAGCACCCAGTCGTGCTGTTCGATCAGCTGGTCCAGCAGGATCTGAGCCACGTAGGCTTGGTCATCTTGGTTGTCAGTGCGGTCGAAGTACTCAAAGTAGATGCCTGCAACGTTCAGCAAACACACCGGAAAGCAATAAAGGAAAATCCGGCATTCCAAACAAACCTGGCTCGCTCGTGAACCGAGCCCGATCAATTGGCCGCCCAGAACGTAAATAAGGGAAGGAACCTCTCGCCAAAGTCCCCATATCTTTCGCACGGCCTGTGCCGAAAAGTATATATATCCAATTCCACTTGCCATGGACTTGCCCTCCCATGCCAACATAACTTCTGCGGGTTGCCTCCCCTCTGAGGAAACGGTTTTCACCCGTTGCACTCGAAGGCATCACGGTTGGATATTTGGCGAGGTACGCACATCCTCGGGCGGGAACTCTCCGGAGGTCGCGACCTTGGACAAGATGTTGCCTCAGAGTCAAACGAGGAACATCGACAAGAATTCGCCAACCCACCCACCCGCAAATAAGGGCTTGGTGGATGCTTCTTAGGTTCAAACAAGGAAATTCGATAAGAATTAGCCAACCGCCCACCCACACATCTTCCGGTTTTGGGCATGTTTTTTCCCTTATTTCCAGTTGATGTCGCAGGCTTGGACCCCTCTGCTTCCCAAGCCGCCCTGAAAAGCAAAAACACACATATCCCCAAATGAAACTCCGGCGCAAAAACACAACAGTTACGCTTTCCTGAAAACTTGTTTACGCCATATTTACTCTAAGGTTACCCCAACTCCGTTCTCCTCCCCCGTTTCCCACACCCCGACTTGACCTTCAGCTGGATATGTTGAGAATCAACCTCACAGGTGCTTCTGAGCAATTGGGCATCCCACAGTTAGGCCGCATTCATGCTTTGGGAAACACTGCCATTTCATTCAGATTTGTAGGGGCAAAGCTCGCCGCAAATTCCCTTTCCAGATCATTTTGGGAAACACGGCCATGTCATTTAGACTTTTGGGGCAAAGCTGCCCCAAATTCCCTTTCCTCATTTTGGGAAACTCGGCCATTTCATTCAGACTTTTGGGGCAGAGCTGACCCAAATTCCCTTTCCAGATCATTTGGGAAACACGGCCATTCAGACTTTTGGGGCAAAGCTGTCCCAAATTCCCTTTCCAGATAATTTTGGGAAACACGGCCATTTCATTCAGACTTTTGGGGCAAAGCTGCCCCAAATTCCCTTTCCAGATCACTTTGGGAAACACGGCCATGTCATTCAGATTTTTGGGAAGCTCTGCCTAGCCCCAAGAGTGAGTGGTTCCCTTTGTGCGCTCCCGAACGGGTTTTCGCATGCAAAACGTCGCCTGCCACATCTCGCTGGCATTCCCCCTTGCGCCACACATAGGTGTAGAGCTCCAACCTCGCGACAAGTTGGAACCCGTCGTTTTTTTTTAAAGGGTGGACACCTGGGCCTGCCTTTTTTTGCGGGAACCCGCCACGTTTGGGGTGGGTTTTCAAGGGAAAAGTGGAAAACACCGTGCTTTGCGGGTCCCGCTATTTTAAAACACACCATACATACCCATATCTTCCCTCCCACCGACATGCTACCTAGCAGGGGCTCCCTTCAAAAATATCTCCCGAAAGGTGCTATGCTGGAGTCTGCCTTCTGGTTCCTTTGGATCCGACAAATATGAGCTTGTCTCCACAAAGGAACCGCCTGTGACACTGCCCCGACAAACAAAACCCGCTTCGCGCGCTACAAACTGAAGGCTGACGCGCTCAAGATGATACTGTGGTTTAGCGGCCTCAAAAAACAATGGGGGAAACGGGCCCTAAAAGTGGGGTCCGTCGGCGAGCCAGAAGATTTTGAAGGAGCTGAACAAGTTGAAGAAGAGGTGGCTTGCCTATTCATACTATGGTTTCATTATGGCGCTCTTTTAAACAGGCAGCAGCAGAGATAGAGTCAACCTATCTTTTGCCACTACATACTTGCTCCCCATGTTTTTCGGCAAAGCCATGCCCAGGCACAAACGTGCACAAATATACGCAGAATCAGAATCGTCTGCAAAGGTTACAGGCGTTCCAAAACTTGAACTGGGTGTGCCTTTTGAGGGTACCCTTTTTCGTGGCTTCAAAGAACAGCTTGAAGGACAACTACAAATTGTGGGTTCCCCTAAAAAAGACACAAATGGGAATCCCCAAGTAAAGGCTACATCATGGTGAGCTTGCTGTAGCCCCGAATTCGTGAGCTCGCAATCAAATGTTCAGAATCATGCTGACCAGCGGAAGAAAGCCCCCCACCGCCCCCCCAAAGAGCCCGCAAGTCGACAAGGACCCACTTACAGTAAAATAGCGAGGATTTGTTGTTGATGCCGCTTCAAGTGCAATTTGATTGGAGGAATCCACACTTGGGGCATCAAAAACCAATTGCCTCCAGAAAGGCCCACCTCGTTTGCCCTCCAAGTAACGGATCTGGAATTCGCAGGTCCACGATCTTCTTCAATCCTGGCTCAGAGTGCACTGTACAAACATTTGGCGGTTTCTCAAGATGGTGGACCCCTTTGTAGGTGGCTTTACAAGGGAAACCAAAAGGAAACCACCATTTGGGGCTTCAGCTAGTTTGAGCACCACCGATTTCTCTTAGCGTGCTCAAACGCCTATACTTATTGTGCCACATGAGATGATGGCATGAGCCTGCATGCCAAGAAATACATGCCCAGGTTGTCAAATGGGCAGTGATGTGGCACAACCGCAAAGCATCAAACAGCGTTGGAGAAGACCCCAGATCTCTCCTGATTGGTCGCAACCGGCGTCAAACGAAAACCAGCCTGCCACTTGAAGGCCCACGCCCGCTTTCTTGGGCAGCATCACTTGCCGAATCAGCACCTGGGAGAAGGCCCACGAAAGCATGATCCAGGGAGCTGGATATGTGAGTTCTGGGCATCACCAAAGCCACCGCTTCTGGCCATAAGCCGCTGAAAAACACACAAAGCTCCGATCAGTGCAAACACCTGGCTACATCGCTGGCATCGGTTTTGGAAGCAGCGGAGTGATATCGCGCTAGAGCCGCACCCTCAGCGCGCTCTCGCCGCGAAACAAAAATTGGTTCCAAGTCCGGAAGACCGGTGAAGAATGTGCTCACTGGAACTGAGCTGGGCGCTTCCAAATGGGATGTATGGGAAAGCTCAGTTTCCAAATGCTTGTGGCTTCCTCGAACTAACCAAAGAATTACCAAAACATCTGGAGAAATCCAATTTCTACGATTTCTAGAGATTGAGGGTCCAAGTTTCCCTTTAGAGCGTTCCACTGGCCTTTGTCAATCCTCGCGTGAGCTACTTTCCCATGGCAAAGGATCATGCACGAATAGGTATGATTTTTGAATTGGTCGACCGTTGGTGGACATCACTCAACATGGGTTGTGTCCACAAAGGCAGGCTTCCTTGAAGTTCATAGGCATATAAAACGACTGATGGCCCTTTGGCCAACAACTCTTTGGGAAATCACCTTCCATACCTTTGGGCATCCAACTTCTCCAAGTAGCTTCTCGCAAAATCCGTGCAAACATCCTCGAGCCGGCATTTGTCTCTTGACGCCAAGGCACTCGTGCCTGAGGTGGGCTGAGCTGCGAGATCATCTTTGTCACCTCGGACGATTTTCAGTTTTGGCCCCAAGGTTCCTTGCCTTACAGCCTGGCATTCTTTTCTCCAAGCAAAGGGGGGAGGGGTCTGTAGGGGTTGATTAGTCGAAACGTAGTCCTTCGTCCTTGTCAGGAGGCACGTTATGGAGGGAGCTTGAAAGGCCTGACGGCCAAGCCAGCCTTGCGCCACCCTACATCCACAAGCCCGGGTCGAGCTGACAGTGCGCAGAGCTTGTCTGCCAAACTGGCCAACGGCAGGCCGGGTTAGCCAGCTCCGACCTTCCAAAAATGAGCGCATGAAACACCTGTTTGTTGTTGGTTTGATTTCTTGGTTTTTCTCCAAACATTCTCTCCCACAGGCCCCACACGCCCCGAACGAACCGAACGAACCTTCGACCCGAGGCGCCGCTTCCTTGGCCTGCTTCACCTTGCCCGCGTGAGGGCCCAGCACCTTCATGGCGCCCATGGCGTTGTCGGAGCGGCCCAAGGCGCTCAGCAGGGTCTCCACCTCGGGGCTCGGGGGAAAACGCGGGACATGGGCGGCCTGAAACTGGGAAAAAACCACCCATGGGGGTCCTTAGGAAATCAACCACCCAAGGGGTTCCGATTGAAGAAAAAAAAAAAAAACTAAGGGAAAACGGGCAGAGGACTGAAACTGGAAATACCGATGGGTTTACTTTGGGCTTCCCTGAAACCCATCTTGAGGGTTGGCACATGGCCTGAACTTGCTGAACTTGACATCGACCACCGAGTTCCCTTCGGACAAATCGACCACCCATGGGAATATACTGAAACTGGAAAAAAAGCCGTGGGTTTCCCTGGGAAGTGGGTGTCATGAAACCAATCTACACCCGGGGGGTCCCTTCTGGTGGATACTTGGAGTGAACTTCACCCACCTATGGGGTTCCCTTCGGAAATCCAACCACCCGCAGGAAAAATCAACCACCGATGGGGTTCCATTTTGGAGCACAGTTGGCCTTATGGAAAAACACATGGTCTTGACAAATGGATGGCATAAAACCAATCGATACCGATGGGGGGTTTCTTTTGCTTCATAGGTGGCCCGATCTGCAAGACCGAGGGGTGAACCGGAACCCGTCCACTTCTAACCAACACCGATCAAACGGACACCTATGGGTTTGGTCTTGAGCTGCATGTCATACACCTCAAGTTTGAGGACGTTGTTTTCTCTGTATAAAGAGCTTGATTCCTTTCCAGTTCTGTTGAACAAGCGTTTCCAATCCAGCCGTTCTCCAGCTTGCTGGTTGGCGGCGAATGGCTGGAAAGTGCCTTTCGACCTCGAACCCCCGAGACGCGAAACATTCGGCCACCCGCCACCCCACCGAAATGAACCCCGAAGTGGTACTCAAGAGACCCGTTGCGCCTCAGGGTCATCCACCTTGTCGCAGAAGCTCGGCTCTGGCCTCCGGTGGAGCTATAGCTCAGGGGAGATGTGTCAGGGAGGTCAGATTGATGGCTGTTAGGCCTTAGGTCAGCCTCCATGTGGGAGGTCATTCCCTGTTGCGTTGCCAGGTGTTTTTTGCAGGGAGCCTGGAAATATCGCTGGCATAACCCCGCACCCTGTGCTGACTTCCCGAAACGACCGTTTGGGTTGGTCTCCAAATGGGGGAACCCACAAAGGGGTTGCTCTCGTGGAGGTTTGGAGCAGGACCCAAAACGATTCCCCCCCATGCTTCAAGCTTGAACAAACAAATGCTCCATCCCCTTTCAGCTTCTTTCCCCTTCCTTTGAAGAAAATGGGCGAGTCGTTTTTCGGTGGCACCCCTTCCTTTGGTGGTAGAGGGACACCCAACGGAATACCGAAGCCTTTTTGGGGGTTCGCCCCGTACCATGGACACCTATAGAGTCAATTTTGCAGACAAGAACCCTAGCAAAAACAATGCCAGAGAAGGAGGAGGTTGCAAGTTGCCCCCCCCAAAAAAAAGAATCAAACTGGGAGGTTGCAACACAAACCCCACTTGTGTCCACCATACGGGTGAAACCCCTCCAAGAAAAAAAAATCCGACCCAAGCCGAGGCGCAGCTCGGCGAAGCGCCGCTCCACCTCTTGGTTGATGTCGCTGTAGGCGCCCGCCGCCTGGCCACGCGACTTGGGCCCAACTTCAAAAGTTTGCCTGAAGAAATAGTGGTTGACAGGAACGCCACTCTGAAAGTCGCTTTTTGTTTGTTTGAGAAGCCCCTCAAACTGTGCTTCTTTTGGAGAAGCCCCTCAAGTTCTGGTGTGTTTTGAGAAGCCCCTCAAATCTTCATTTTTTTTTTTTTTTTTTTTTTTTTTCCGGGGAGCTTCCAAGAGGAAATAGCAGTTGGTCTCAAAATGGGACAGCATCCTGTGAGTGCCGGCCAATGGTGCAGGGCGGCTACTGGACTTGAACCGTCCTTTTGGGCCCAGGACGGTTGCCCCCTTTTCCACCAGCCACCAGGCAATGAGTGTGGCAATAGATCTGCCAAATGATCAAATGACTACCCCAAGCTCACCTCCATTTGCGTTGTGACATCTGACACCTTCCCCGCGACGGCACCCACAATGCTCTCATACCCCTAGTACTTTTTCAGCTGACACGGAAAACCAATGGTCTAGAGGAATCTCTTGGGACCCTGCAAGAGATTCCTCGAAAAACACAGTTTTTTTGGGGCTGCCCTTTCGTTGAGGCTACTCTTCTTCAATCTTTGGCGCCATTTCAAGGTGATGGCAAGGGGGACCCACCCGTTTTCGAGGGGCGCCCTTGAGACATACCCAAACAAGCAGCACCCCATCGCGCCTGGATGACCTCCCAGCCCCAGACGTCGGAGCTGTCCTGGCGGGCACGCCCTCACGCCCCGCCCCCCACCCGCCGAGTCCCAGGCGGCAAGTCTTGCAGTTGGAGCCCATGGCGAGAAAAACGAATTGGATCCGGAGCCATTACCTTCAAAGGGAGAATCACTCCCCATCTGCAAATGTTACATCTCCCAAGGCTGAGGAGAAGCAAACAAAAACGGATCCCAAGTAAAGGACCTTTCGTGGTGAGCTTGTTTTACCAGGTGAGCATAACTTTGGCAGATGTTTGGAGGTGATGTCCCTGGCAACTTCTGCGGACATGAGTGAGAGAAGGCCAACAAGTCAACGTGATTCTGCCTTGGGCGGCTTTTCCCCCTACTCTTGCCGGAATTCGAAGGGTACAGGGATGTCATGCTCCGGCCACATCCCTGAGCATCCGTACAGTTCCTGCACTAATAGTTTCCATCCCCACAAAAGTGAAAAACAAACCCACTCGTGCCACGGCGCTCTGGCGCATAATTGCCACGAATGCGCAGCAACCACTTACGCCTCTGCTGTCCAAAATGAGCGTCGGCCAAGCCTTTTTTGATCAAAGAAACAGGTCGGGTCACCTGGCGCCATATCCGGTAATGAGCCTTTTCACTGCCGCTTTTTGCCAAATAGGTGCGAATTCCACCTTCTCACTTTCAGAGTGGATGGCCTACAGAAAGTTCAACCCTCCCCAAAAATCCATGAATGGGGGTGGTGATTTATCTACATAGATCTGTTTTCTGCAATCAAGTCCCTGAAGGGCGCCGGCGGCGATCTTGCAACTGAGGATGTGCCACGAGGATGTGCCACACCCAAGCGGATTGCGGGAGGGGTTCCAGCCAATCAAACACATGGGGCATCTTGAGACGGGTTCCATGGCGCGGGGGCTTTGGTGGCGCGTTGGTTGCGCGCGCGTTTCGGCGGATATGCCCGGCCCGCGCCTTGGTGGTCTGATCCTTGGGGTAGATGCTCAGAAGCTCGCTGACTCGGGAGACGCCATCCGCGAACTCCACGCGTGGGATGAGGGTCAGTTCCGACTGCTCGGTGGACCACAGCGCCTTCTTCAGGAATTCCTGAGATGTCCCGGGCCGCTCACATGTGCCATGGTCGAAACTCTTTACTTGGCATGTGGGTTTTGTTATACGTGGTAGTTACTTCTTTTTTAACAGGATGGCTTTTCATGATGGTCACTAAGGATCCTTACCAGGTGGCTGACAGTGCTAACTTCTAACCCCAGGGTGAAGGAATCGATCTCTTGACCATGGCACGAATGTTTTCGCCTTGGGATCCAAAGTGGCCAGCCCATCCGAGCCGTGCGGCGGTCTGCGTCTTCGGGTGCCACAGGTACATCTGCACCGCGCCCTTTGCCTTGGTGCGGAAAGCATGGGCCATGATCTGAGCCAGGAGCCTGCCAGAGTCCCAAACGCGAACCAAGAAACTGCCAAAGCTGGCCCAAAACACCGAAATGAAACGCCGACCTTTACTTTGAACAAACTTCAAATGATGGAAAGCACAGGGTTCCTTTTTGACCACACCAAGGTGGACAAAACCCCAGGGTGCTGGATGTCAATGGGAAAACCGCTTGGTTGAAGTCTACCTCGGGGTAGTCCAAACAGTTGCATGCCTTTTATTGGGGACCTGTTTTTGACGTCCACCACCCACTTTTTAGGGGGATCCGAATAAAACCAACTTATAACCAAATTAACCCCTTGGAACGGTTGCAAGCCAGATGCGTTGTCGAGCGCCTTGCGCCAGCCGGGGTCACCCTTGCCGTAGCGAGCAATCTGGCTCAGCATCGGCCCGCGGTTGCGGTAGTGGAAGAACTCCTGAGTTGCCCTGTGGGTCCTTTTTTGCGTTGGTGTCCCCTTCAAAAAATTGAAAAGGGGGAACCAAAAGGAAAACTGTTGTGCATCGTTGCGCCATTTTGGGAGCCCCCTAAAATAGACACACCAGGTTGTGTTGACACAGCGAGGCGAACATCACAAGTGGCAAGGGGCAGTTTGTCACAGGAGAAAGGGCTTGCTACACTCGAAAATGGAAAACACAAAGCCCCTCGGCAAAAATGTGAATCTGGAGGGAACAGCTCAAACAACCCCCTTGCTTTTACCGGAATCTTCCTTTGTGCTCCATGTGAACTTGGAGGGGAAACAAATTCACTTCACGGCACCTCCGTTTCACCTATTCACCTTCGTCTTCGTTTCACGTGTGTCTTCGCGCTTCACGACGTCAAGGCTCCGTCTCTTCGCCGTTGGCTTTCAGCTTGCAAAGGCACTTGTGGAGCCACTCCTGGCGCACTGTACCTCGCGTGTGGGTTCAAGGTACCGGTGAACAAAACTGTCCCCAGCTCCGTTCCGGGAAAAACCCGGATCTGCAAATGGGCGTGTCTCCTTCTTTTGGGACCCCCCCACAAGGCGGTTCTCCCTTTTGTTTCCCTTTAAACCAACCCCTTGACAAGGGTGCGAACCCAAGAAAGACAGACCCAAGCGGAGATCTCCAAATTAGCCAAGAACCCCTTTTTGGAGTTCCACGTTTCTGTGTTAGGTTCGGGGTAACTAGGAAGCTAAGGATGTCGCGATACCGGCTACAAACCATTCAGCATCTCACAGCCTTGCGTGCCAAGCTGCTCAGGTGGCGACCAAAGCTGCATCCGAACAGCAGCAAGTACTCGGCATCCTTGCCTCAGACTGCTCCACTTCTCACCAGTTGGGATGGATTAAAGTTTATGAGTGCTGGGATAGAAAACCCTGCGACTGGTGCAACATCTTGTCCGTCCACAGCATCAAATGCAGCCAAGCTGGACCCATCCCGACGCCAAATCAACCATGTAAAGACTTGTAACGAAGCAGCGGGTAGCAGGCTTCAAGCCTAGCCAGTGGCGACAAGCGAACAGCTTTCTACTGATGTCTCACCGACTCTGCCTTGCCACATGAGCCTGAAATTGGGTTGTCCCCAGTTATTTATGGGGAACGTGGTTGGCTCAGCTCCCTGAATCACTTTGGAGCAGGGTTGCTAACCTCTGGAGTTTGGGAATTTGGGCTTGCCCCCTGCTTTTCTGTGTGGACTTCTATTGTCCCCCATGCCTTCCCCATACCAAGAAGCGGTCAGTGACTCATGCCGCACTCAAACCAAGTAGCGTTCCATGAGCTTGGCAACGCAAGCATCGCGCGTGGGGTCATCCAACAACAAGAGCTCCATCAGCGGCGTGAGGACGTCGCAGCTCCCCTTCAACGTCTCGTTCCTGAGCCGCGGAAAGCGATGAGAACTAGTGACTTGCCCTTTCTGTGCGTTGGCTGGGAGCTGTTTTTTGTGGTGGTGGTTGTTTCTTTATTTGTGTTTGTCTGTGTGTGTGTTTTGCTTGTTGCGGGAAACCAGAAAAGACCTGACACTCGCGTGGTTCATTGTGCCATGGCACTCCCCACCACTCCAGCCCCTGTCATTCCAAAGTGTGAAGTTGGCAGCAAGGTGACCCAGTGATCCCCAAAATACTGCAGGTAGACCAGCCCAAAACCGTGGGGAATTTCTTGCAACACTCTCCCACCAGTTAGTGACAGAGGTGGGGTCCTGGTTTGGACCAAATGTTCCTTTTAGAGGGACCCCCTGCCAGGTTCCACGTCAATTCGTGGGAGGGTGTCTATGGAACAAACCATATCTCAAACTTGGCGGTAGTGCAGCTCCTCAATTAATTTCTAGTCGCTGCTCGTCATTGACCCATGGCGAGCAAAGCAGGAAGAGAGCAAGCCCCAACTCGACGACATGAATCGCCCCATGAGTCGTTTCGCCAGCGGCAAAGCAAGCAAACAAAGCCATGTGCCCTCGGCATTTTGCAGCTCACCCGCTGGAGCCCTGCTTTTCTGGGGTGCTTTTGGGAGCAGCTCACACCAAGAGGAAACTTGCACTAGGCCATGGTGCTTTACTACACCATTTAGGGCCTTCTCCTCACCCATTAGGGCTCCCCCCTCTCCTTCTCTGAGATCCGAAGCTCTTCGTGAGGGCGGAGTTCAGGTAAGGGTAGTGCCGCCCCACCGTGCGGGCCATGCCTTCGAAGCGCGCGTTCAACGTGGCGATGCTGGCCTGAGGGGCAAGCGACCGGGCCGGTAGAAAAAGAATCGGACAACGCTTTGATGTGTGAAAATGTGGGGGGTGGGGGGGGCGGGGGCCAAGCAAAATGTGGCTTTCCATGTTGGTTCCCCGGTGGACCAGCCTGGGAAGGGGTACCCTCAAAACCGCAGGCAAAGCCGCCCGCCCGCCCGCCCGCCCACCCACCCACCCACCCACCCACCCACCCACCCACCCACCCACCCACCCACCCACCCACCCACCCACCCACCCACCCACCCACCCACCCACCCACACAGCGACACAGAGACACCCAGAGAGACAGAGAGACAGAGAGACACAACGACACACACACACACACACCTTTCTGTTCGGGATTGACATAGCCTTGCTTGGGGTTGACCTTTGATGGTGGGGCCCGAACTCGTGAGCAAAAAGATTTAGAGGGCGCCACTGAAAAAATGGGAAACTGAAACTGCCAAAAAACGCTCCTGGATGGAACGTTGGCCCACATCTGAGCTTCATACATCGGTGATTGGCGATTGGTCCTGTTGTTTGCTTGCTTGCTTTCGACAACACGCCTCACTGTCATGATGTGGCTGCTGGGCACTCCTGGGGCTTTCTGCTGAGCCAAGCAAACGAGCCGAACATCGACGCGGAACCATTCGAACTGCGGAAGTTGGCCTCGACGAGCTGGGTGATCTTGGGCCCGGAGAGCATCGCGGCGATCTCCGAGATCTGCCACAGCACCTGGCGCCTGCGGGCCATGCGCGGCGGATTTTTTCCGCGGGGTGAAGTCGGCTGTTCGCAGATGGCTGTCTTGCTTAAGGCAGGCTAATTGAAAGGGAAATCCACAAGGAAACCCAGCATAGGGGTCCCCCCCAAATCAAAATCGTGCAGCGGCTTGCAAATTGTGGGGTGGAGCGCATGGCGCTTTTGAGCCACAGGAGCCGATTTCTTTCGAGCCGTCTGCGACTGACACAGACCGCGAAACTTTGGGTCACAGGAGGCTCCCATTGAAAAGCTAGAATTGGCCGGTTCATCACTTGACCCTGCTGTAGGTGGTGTTTCAGAAAAAAAACACATGGATTCCACTGGCTCGAGCCAAACTCAAACCAGTGGAATCCAGCGATGCTCATTGCCAAACTGACCGTTCAAACAAACACCTACAGCCACTCGTTTGCCCGAGAGTACCTGAAGCACCCAACGTGCCTGTGTTTTAGTACGAGGAAAAAACCGCTTGAATCACCGACTTCTGCACGACCCAAAAAAACAAACGCTCGCCCCCCCGACAACAACGCTCGATCCAGTCCCCTTCCTCCATCCGGAGGAAGGCGAGCAATTGTTACGTTTTCAGATTTGCGATATTTGCGCGCGTTTGCGGATACTTGCGCTTGTGTTGCGGATGTTTGCGCTTGTTTTGCACTTTGATGTCTGCTCGCTCCTTTCAGCGACCGATCATCTTGGCGGACCGGCCAGCCGGTTTTGGGGAAAAAACGCTCGAAGCAGGAAAATGTGTACGTTTACCATATTTTGGTAACGACCCTTGGTTTTACAATACGTTTGGCCTTAGGGCAGAAATTAGGTAACAAAGGGCACGCCAGGCACCCTTAGGGGTTGTTGCAGTTCCTATTTGGGCATGTGTCAAATTAGTATTTACACACCAACCAATAACAGCGTCTCAAAAAAACGCTCGCCATTTTGGGTCAAACTTGCACCCCCCCCCCCCTCCCCCACAGAAACAATATCTAACAGTGGCTGACTTTCGGCTTCCCGCAAAAAGCGACCCAATTGCCCTCCGGTGTCCTTTTGGTCAAACCTGGTAAATGGGGCATAAGACCAATCTAAAGCAGTGGAACCCATGTATTTCTAACCAAACCACAGGGGTCAGTGGATTTCCCCAAAGTTGCAAAATGAAGTGAGCTGCCACGTTTGAAGGGACCCCTAAGCCAACCGACAACCTTTGAAGGTCCTTCTGAGCTAACCGATCAACAGAACAGCTTTACGAACTTGGGTAGTTGAGAGCCCTAGGGTGCCCTGGTGTCTTTTTAGGGACCCCCCCTCCCTGCACTGCGCCCCTTGGACCCCCCAGACAAAGATTCCCTCAAAAAGAAAGCCCAACCTCGGCTTCCCTCCAAACGACCCGTGGCAGCCGTGGCCTATTGGGGCGCTGGAGCAGCTTGTTGATGGTGTCGAGCTCCTGTGCCGCGATGGAGTCCTTGCACCGGCCCGTCTGCCAAGGCAGCGGGGTGTACTTGTGGTGCTTCTGGATGTCCCAGGATTCCTTAGATCGGAATTTCCGGAGAAAAATGCCAGGCAACCCTTAACATGAAACCTGACTCAGTGGACAAGAGGGGAATTGGTGGTGATTCCTTAAGGAATCCCCGGAGGTAGGGAGCAGTGGGCAATAGAAAGCCCCCTCATAGAAGGCGTATTGACTGGCTGCCACTTGTTCCCTTATATAGCTCCATACTTGGAGAAACATCCAGGCAACCCTTACCCTGCTCACAAAACGCCATGAAACCTAGCTGATGAAAGGGGTCTTCAAAAGCCATGTTTATTGAAATGGACCCTTTGGTTTCTTCCTTGTCAATTGGACAAGAGGGTGGTTGGTTTGGGAAAAGGGGTTTGAAAGTATATACCCCAAAAGCCACTAAAGGAAGCACACGTGCCAGAAACGACAGCAGAGACACACACCAAAAGGTAGGACACCTTCGAAACGCAGCGCTCGCAATAAATGTTGTCTCCCATGCTTCAATGGTGCATCCGTCCCACTCGCAAATACAGCCAAACTATCAGAAAGAACGGCAGTGCCGTTCTTGCCTTTTCAACTCACACGCGGGTCCCAGGTATTGGCCCAAAGTGATGTTTGGGCTCCAAAGGGACAAGGCCAGGCTGCCAGGCTGCTCCCTCCACCCACTTGGTGGCAGGCAGGTGCCGGAAAGGCAGCTGGGACAGGGCCTGGCCCACGGAGCTTTGGATCCTCGGCGATTGCAACGCTCCTATTTCCAACCCAGGAGACATGCCAAACAAACCCGCAAGAGTGTTGGGGCTCCCAGTTTGTCCTCAAGTTTGGGGCGGGTAAGGGGCGGCCCCATCATTGGGGCTCCAGAAAGCAGCCAGGGGTTCGCGCTCCCAACCAATCCAAACCAAGGATTGCTGAATGAGGGTGGGCCACCCTCCCTCCAACAATGAAGGAAGCTGACAGGATGGTTTTTGAAGACGGCTTCTCTTTTGGGGAAGAGGTAGCGGATCCATGCGAAAGCGTCAAACAACCCCAAACCCTAAGGCCTTTGACCAACCCCAACCCTTGGTAAGGCGTAAGGCATGCCGATGGGCTCCCAAGTTTGGGACCTCACAGGCACGTTCATTGCTTCCGGGGCTGCATAGCAATTGATAAAGTGAGAGGTTTTTCAAGAGTGGTGGCAGATCGGCTTGAATTTGGCGAGCACTTAGCTTGCTCGCACCACTCAGTGTCACAAATGTCAGCCCCCGAATCGGTGAGCTCGCCATTGCAGATCCAAGTTTCTGGGTCCGGTCCTCCACTCTTTCCCGGCGCTTCGTGGCGAGCACTTTCCACTTCAGGTCAGTCATGATGTTGATGTTCTTCAGAGCCGTGATTCGCCTAACGCATGCGAGACGCATGCGTAGCACCGCGTAAAGGGAGAGCTACACAAGTTATCTTATCAACTTCACGCCCTTTTCTGATTTGGGTGTGTCTTTTTACCGGGGGACCGCTCAACTTGGTTGGTTTTGCTTTTGGCTTCCTTCAAAGCACCAACAAAAAGGGCACCTTCAACAAAAGAGCAGTCCCGCCTCGTGATCATGGCCGAGCCCTCCTTCGAGGGGATTACGCCGGACTCAATGTGCTGGAGGATGTTAGTCACTGCATCCTGCTTGCAAGCAAAAACCGCCAAATGCACATGGAGCTGCAAAGGGGCGGTCTTTTGACAGGATCTCTTCGAAAACGGATTCTTTAGGGAGGAGGTCCATGTCGAATAGCAGGGCGCGCAACGAACCATCCCAGCACCAAAGGACCAAGCGGCATAAGGCCCGGTCGGGATATGGGAAGCGTGCGGCTTCGTGTTCTTGCGACAGATTGCAGGTGCTTGCTGGCAACTGTCGGGGAACAAGGTGCGCCCCCTTAACCGCAAAGAACACAATAAGTGTAGTGGGTTGAAACGGGTTCCACTTGTTTTTAAGAGCGGCGGTGATCCCCACAAAAGTGAAATTGGAACGTCCTGGGCTTCAGCCTTTCAACAAAAGCTCTGGTAAGGGGATTCGGTGACCAAAAGCTGTCCTTGTACTCTTCGCACTCCACAGGCGCCCACCATCTCTTGGACAACTTCTTGTCTCCGGCCACAAAGTGCCTCAATGCAATTCCATACGCGCGGCAAAGTCCCACGTTCAAAACATGGACATATAAACGACGTCTGGCCGTTGGCGTAGCCTGGAAGACGGACTTCATCGGGCAGATCCCTTCAGAATGCTTCTTACCACGGGCAATGACCCCCCCCACCTCACAAAAAATGCGCTAGTATCTCATCCCCCCAAAATGGGTAAGGAACCTTAATGGCAGGTATGCACCTCCAAATAGTACTTGAGACTTGAGGGGCGGAAATAACCCTGCACCCACCTCTCTCGCGCTTGCTTTGCAGCGGATCGAGGCACTGCTGACGATCAGCCAGGAGGTTCAGCACTCCCACGAAGACGAAGTCGATGGCCTTCTGCTTGACCCCTCCAGCCAGCAACCTCGGAAAATGGAACCAATGGAATTCCAGGGCCCCCCCTTTCCATTTGTAAGGGGGTGGGGATTCAGAAAACCATGCACGAAGAGATTGGGGGGAAGTGGAAGCCTGGGATGTTAGGCGTGCTTTTGGACAAAATGCGGCACAGCACGAGAACCAAACTGAAGCCAGTGCCAGCCATCTTTGTCTGAAACAAACAACCTTAAACGGACTACGTGCAGGATCTCAAGCACATTGGGGCAAAAGCGCAGCGACGGCGAAGCCCAAATCCAAGGTGCTTGCGCCACCATTCGCTGACGAAGGGATACCTAGGCCCCATGAGCAAATGGCGAAACTGCATCCTGGGTGCTAAAACGAAGGTCTAGAAACATTCAAACAATAACTCGTCCATTTGTTGCTTTCCTTTTGCGGGGAAAACATAGGAAGAAAACACATTGGCTCATTTAGCACCCAAATTCTGACTGACTGACTAACCTGCTGTGCTTGAGAAAAGCCAGAAGAGTCTCACCGTCTCACCTGACCAGCTCGTAACCTGCCTTCCGATCATTCTGTCCAATTTGCTCGCCCTGAAGCTTGCAATTTCTCATTCTGGATGCTCATAGCCAGCATCCTTTTGTTGCAGCCTCGTGGGTCCCAAGCGCAGCCACACATCAATACTTAGCTTCCGCTACGTTGCCCTGCAGCCTGATTGAAATTTTCCGCATGGTCGGCCGGGCCTGGATTTTGATCGGGGACCGCTTGGTGGACAGCAGTCACATGTGGATTTATGCAACCAACCGTGTTTTTTTTGGGGGGTGCTCTTCGAACTTCGAACCATTCGAAGCAGCCCAGAAATCGCCAAGTTGCGTCTCCCACAGGCCCTTCTCCCCGGTGTTCCCGGAATCCTGCTTCATGATGGGAAGGCCGGTCTTCTCCTCCGCCCGGAAGCCGGAAGCCGGGAGGGGTGTCCCAAAACCTACCTGGTACTAAGCGCAAACCAACGGGAGACCGACCATTTTCAGGGATCACACATGTTCGGAAACAGCCACATGGTGGATTCCTAAGGGACGTGCAGTTCAGCCTGGTCAGGCTATCGCACGCCATAAAAAGAAAAATGATCGAGAGGGTCACATGAGTGGGGTTGCCACTTGACCCGACCGCCGGTCTCCACGTCGCTCGCTCAAATTGCGACAAGTTACTGTAGTCGGTTCTTATTGGACCTTGGGCCATGCCATTTCAAAGGCTTGCGGCTTCCGTGAACCGTGCTATTACACAATCTTCCATGAGGTTTGTATCCAAAAAGCAGCAGGCCAAAATTGTGGTTCCCTTTAGTTTCCCTTGACAACCACCCAAAAACACCCTCAAATTTATTGCTGGCGCTTGTGACTTCAGCATGCCCAAGCAGGGCTTTAAGGCCACTGAACAACTGGGACAGCCCTGTTTAGCGAACCCCCGCAACAATCCCCCCAACATTTTTTTATATTTTTTTTGTGGCCTTCTATTGTCAGTTGGCTGACTGCAGCTTCCCATTGTCGAGGTTCCCAATAGTGTATATATGTATATATATGTGTGACAGTGAGTCGGTGGAACCACACTTGACATGCCCCAGCAAGTAGTGTTTAAGGCACCCGAAAAGGGCACAAGGCACGCTCCCTTGCTTGATTTGGGAGGGGGGGAGGTGGTTGGAGCACGCAGCCCAAAAGGCAAATGCAAGGAGCTGTTTGGAGAACTTCTGGTTTCGCCTTTCAACTATCCAACTCACTTCCTGAGTGGATGGCGCAAAAGGTTTCAAACTTTTTGAGTGCCACCAAAATGGTCTTCCCAAAAAGTTTCAAGTCAGGAAGTGAGCCAAACACGGATTCCCGCGTTTGAACCCATTCTTTGAGATTGCCAAAGGTCCGACGTGATGAGCATGAAGCCCTGACCGTTGATCAGCTCCAGCCAGTTGCCGCGTTGCACGCCCCGTACCACTGAGCCTACCGTTACCACTTGCCGCTGCGGACTTTTGTGGCTTCAAAATGCTGGACCCCCCCCCCCCCCCCCCCGCCCTCCCGGCAAAAAAACACAAAAAACAACTACGGGTAGTTTCCTCGGGTCCCCAGAAGTAACGCGACAAACCCAATAGCAACTGCACATGCCCCCGAAATCTCACAGCCCACTCGCCGGGACGCCACCGCACACCGAGGACGCCGGGACACCGCTATTAGACCCCATAGCAACTTGCACAGCATTCCATAAGGCTTCCGTATGTCCTTTGACAAATGGTTTTGGTTCTTAGTCCATGCATCCATGCACCTGCTGAGCGTGGAATGCATGCGCTGGTCAAATGAGCAGCGATCCCCCGGAGGAAAGCCAAGCAAAGCAAAGCAATTTGGAGCAAAGGAAACAATGCAAGTAAAGAAGACAAATCAAGGACATGGCCGCAGCGCAAGCCGCACCGAAGCAAGACACGCCAAGAACAACAACACACCAGGGACACCCTGACGAACAACTCCTTCTGCCGGACGGGGCGAGGCCACGATGTGGGCCCCGCTCCGGTACATGTCGGAATGGATTCCTCAGCAAGGGGTGGACTCTCTCCAAAGGGCTTGGCCGGGCTGATAAACCGCCAATGCCTTGCCAAATAAACCCACCGGCTCTAGGTGAAGGAGGGTTGACATGGGGACGGCGCGCGCTTGCGCGCGCTTGCGAGCTTGCCATTCTCAGGGCTTTGGGCTTCCCTGCCCAAATTTGCTGCCGCCGTGTGCAAATTTGAGAACCCCCTTCCGACAAACTCTCGAGAAAGCGCCCACCCTCCACCATGGGCGATTTGAGCAATTTGGACCGGCAAAACTGGACCGAACATCGCCTGGCTCCATGACGGACACCTCCGGGGACGTGCTGGACTTCTCCTTGTGCGCCTGGCAGTCGGAACAGAAGGGCCGATGTCTTCGTCACACGGCCATGGCTTGACCACAGGGACCCCCTCCAGTGGCACTAACACGTCACGCTGCTGCTACCTTATGCGAACAATGCGAGATATGCGCCTGCGGTGTCAGCAAGCCGCCTAATTGAAATTTCACACACCTGAGTTGAGAATTGCCTTGGAGGAGAGATCTTGTTCTGAGTTCGATTGAAACCCTGGGTAAGCTGGCAAGCAATGCAAACTCATTCACGATCCTATGGGACGACACGGATTCTCTTGGTGTTGATCAGCGATTGAAGCTATATGAACCACTCCAAATCAAGGAGCACTGCCATGCAGCAGGACTACAGATTTCAGAGCGTCAGCTTCACACAGCCACACGCCAGGCTGAATCCACTTGCGTGCCGCAAAATGTCTGAATTCAGTCGCTAGCTGACTATCAATGGTCGGGATCATCTGCTTCAGAAGCCACTCGGACTCAAAAAGTCCTTCGGTGCTTGCTTAGCTCCAAAGGTCAAGAAACACACAGGAATCCCACCGGCAACTTTGTCCGAGTGGCATGCCGTTTCTGGGACAATATACCAGCTAATGGCAATCCCGGAGTAAAAAAGCCCTTTGGGGGTCGCCCCCGTATTACTGGGCCGGGCTTATTCATCCGGGGTCAACTTGCCAACTTACCGACTCACGGCGAACCACGTCCTTGACGGACTTCTCCGTTCGCCAGGACGTGATTGCATCCGGATCCTCCCCGCAGAACCTAAGCAAAGCATGCGCCCCGGCAGGGAGTGAATGGAGTGCTAGTCACACAGCCATGGGGAAGCCTGGCCCCTCTTTCGCGGAAAACTTCCTTTGCGGACCGGCTGGAAAGTTTTCCAACCACAAAGAGTGCTCCTTGCTAAATCTTCGTTGCAGCCTTCATTTCGCGGCCTGCTGTTTTGACTTCAGGACCATGGACACATGGCCAGATTCGGAATTCCAAAGATGTCAATCCTGAAACTTGCTCGCGCTTCTTAAAGCGCATTGACATTCGGTCATCATCAGTGGCGCTTAGCTCGACCAGCGCGTCATTTATCGATATTATCGGAACCTGTCCGGAACTCGGGAACTTGCCAAAGTCAGGGCTTCTGAGACACTAAAATCGAAAAGGCGTCGAGTTGGTTGCTTCTTGTGACCTTTAACCCTTTAGCTTTTGGACACCTTCTAAGAGAACCCACAAAACGAGTGGGGTCAATCGGTGTCTGCAACCAACTCCCTATTTCAACGCATGAGAAATCAACACCCAGATCAAAACTTTGGATCTGGGACGAGTTGGCCGAGTCGCTTGATGGTGCTCATGGTCTTCAGTGCCTTCCAGAAATCCTGCAGGATTGGAATGCTTCACCACCTGCTTGGTTGCAACCTCCTGTTGGTTCTCCGAGAAATGCGGCCCACAAAGAAGCGTTTTCAGATTCTGGCTCATATTTAGCCACAAGTTTCACTTAAAACGGAGACCCAAGTAGGGTGGTTGGACTCGAATCAAAACACATGCCTGTGTTTGAACGTAAATCGAAACAGAGCCTGGCCACGTCTATGGTTAGACCAGTATCTCACTTGACAAGTGGATGGGCCGGAACAAGTGTAAACTTTTTCTATACCACTAAAATGGTACAACCCCAAACAGTGACTAAGTCCATGACCTCAGGAAGTGAGACTTCCATTTGCTTTATCGCCCCGTGGAACAAATAAACCTATTTCCAGTGATGGATTCCCGTACTAAAACCAACAAGGGAAAATAACAAATATTTTGAGAAGATACACATGTGTCCAGAGTGATGGATTCCCTTATTAAAGCCAAGCAGGGAAAATCACTTCTTAAGCAAACGCAAGGAGATGGTACGAGTAACGTCCCCATGGCCTTAGACCCAGTCACCGTCCTCCAGGGGTGCCGACTGCTCCCCACTCAGCGGCACCGCCGTCTCGAGCACCCACCGCGTGGCGTTCTCCAGGTCCTAACGAAATCGGATGCGGACGCACCGACTGAGACGTCACCGGTAAAAACGGTGGCTGAAGTTAACCCCCCCAACGAAATCGGACTCTGACCCCCCAATAAACACAGCCAGCACGAGTCTCAGAAGGAGTCGTTTTTTTAAAGGCCCAAAACAGCCAATAGTGGTCTTTGGCCCATCCCCTTTTGGATTCTGTTTGGGTGAATTAACAATGGTTGCTATTTAGCACCATTGTAAACATAACAAAAGCCAGTTCTGGCTTCTGAGTCTGATACATTTTCGAAACAAAGCCCACAAATTGAGGGGGGCCCTTGCGGTCAACGGTGGCCGAGCAGCCTTGAGGGTCTCGATCTTGGAATGGTTCTTCCTCAGTCAAATGCATTTTGAGCATTCGGCTGCAACCCTTCCAACCGACCAGGCAGGTGTTTCGCCATACGTGGCCGCTGCTTTGGTATCTCAAGATCAGTGTCGTTCAAAATGAAGGGATCCCAAAATCCTAATCTGCAGGGGTCGCCACTACAAGAGAACCATGGCAGCAAATCAGGGGCCATTAAATAGCTTCACACTTGGTTTTGTCTCTAAACCCATCTTAAAATGCGGTTCTTTAACTAATTATTCAACCGAGTCAAAACTAGTCGGCTGTCTGCTGGGGATGGGAGGGCCCCAATGCAACTACATACACGGCAGTCTTTTCATCCTGGTGCCGGTGACAATGGCATAGAAAGGAGATTCTGGGTCGCAACATAAATCCGCATCACGCAAATCACGTCTGTCACTGAGTCATGCGCCTGAGTCATGAGCCTGTTGCATTTATGGTCGCCCATGGCGCTCCTTCCTTCTCTCCCTCCTTTGTGTCTGCTGTATAGCTCCATGTTCAACTTTCCCCCTGCGTGCTGGCTCCCTTCGGAGGGATTTTGGGGGTCAAGCCCTTGATCCCAAGCCAAAGCCAACAAAAGCATCAAATTATCTTCCTCCCAAGGCCAACGATCGACTACCATTCATCTTGTCAGCTGAAACGAATACCCATCACACAACCCAAAACAACTTTTGATTGGTTGGACCCTGGCTGGACCCTTCGCCCTCAGACCCCCTAAGAATGTTGGGCGTCCTATTGGTTTCCACCAACCACCGCCTTCTCAAAATGTTCCCACAAAGGCGTCCCCAAAATTAACAAAATTGATTCCCACCAACAACTCCCGAACAAAAAGATATGGCGAACTTTGATTGGGAACCACCTCAAAGTTGGCGGGCTGTTGGACCCGAATCCACCAAGGGGTCCCCAAAGTTTATAAACTTGACTTCCACCAACAAATCCCTTCTCAAAATGTTCCTACCAAGGCGTCCCCAAAATTAATAAATTTGATTTCCACCAACAAATCCCTTCTCAACATGGCCCTACGCATATCCTCATATTCCACCTGCCACCTTCCACCACCTCCGCCGAAAGTCACCAGGAGCTCGGGGAGGTCGATTTCCGAGACCACCTCCAGGCCGAAGAGGCACGCTTCGGTGGGGTAGGGCGGCGCCTCCTCGCCGTCTTTGATGGGCTTCCCCCAGTTCCTCAAACCGCCGCAGCCGGCGACTGCGGGATCAAACTCTTCCCGCGCCGTTGGTTCCCATTGAAATCAACACCAACCCACCCCTCAAAGTCAATATGCGATCAAGAAGTTGTGTCAACTTTAGTTATGGAAACTGCCCTGGTTGGTTTCAAAGGGAAACCAACGTTTTGCTTCGACAACATGGAGTGAGACAGGGAATCCCCCCCAACATAAACCATGCCCGAATTGGTTTCCTTGCGGATCCCTATGTTCATTCTCAAAACGGTGGGTCGTTCCTTGCTGAGCACCAGCAAGTTTTGCGGGTTGTTCTCCAAGCCACGCCCAAATTTGGGCTTTGCCAAGGTGCTTGTAGTTCTTAGCAGTACTTGTGAGTGGGGAACCAGTTGAAACAACAATTTTGGAGGGGCACTTTGAGGGCTCGCACGAGCTTGCGCCTTTTTTAACCCAACCACTCCATGTCCATGCTCGGAGTATCTATCTAGATTTACCCTCCAGCTGGGTCAAGCAGGTATATACCGACTACTTATACATTGTCATACATTGCGTGAGCAAGATGGTGTACACGTGATCCCCCCAACCTCCCACGACCAAGACCATGGTTTTGAAGGGAGTCGGCTTAATATGCTTCAGGGTTTTCTAGGCGGGCAAAATGTCGCCCACCCCCCAACAAAACGAGGACCAAGGCGCTTCAAAGCATTCTCCACCAGCTGGCGGCCGCACTTGTTCCAGGTGCATTGGTAGCTGGAGCTCTCCCGCGCTTTGCTGCTGACCTTCCAGAAGTTGCGGAGCTGCTCCAGCTTGTCCTCGGGCTGTGGCCCGAGGTCGCGAGACGCCGAGGTCGCGAGGCCCCGTAAGGACACCCAAGGAGCACCCGGGAAGGAGGCATGGGTTGGGATGAAGTGCCGAAGGGGCCCCAGAGTGCCGATTGGACCACGCCAGAAGTTTGGGGGTCAGCTTTCGGAAAGGCACGCAGTCATTCTCAACATGCCCGAAAGCAGCGATTCTCAGAGTCCCGTGTCATCTGAACATGTGAATTGTCACTGAGGGTCTCTGTGCCTCACTTCCGAACGAGTGGATTGGCCCAAAATCCAAACTCGGCGTTTGCCACTAAACTGGTACTCTTCCTGAGTGGATGGGCCAAAAAGGTTCAAGCTGTTGTTTGCCACATTCACATAGTCTTCCTAAAAAGTTTAAAGTCCTGGAACTCAGGAAGTGAGACAAAGTATAACTTGCTGGTGCTCAGTAGGGAATGATCCAGGGTGTTGGGAATGATTTCTTCGGGGATGAGCCATTTTAGGGGCATTCCATTTCTCATTCTCTGCTGAGAACCAGCAACATAATGTCCAGGAACTCAGGGAGGGGGGCCAATTGATAAGTCCTCCCACAGGTCATCTGGCAGCTTCTTGCCCACAAAGAGCTCAGAGAGGATGTGTGAGCGGCCTTGTTCTTGCTCGGCATTGAAGCGGGACAGCAGGAACGGCAACAAGTCTTCAAAGGCTTTGCCCGCGTCCTTCTCCTCGCACTTCAGGTGGGATGACTCGGGATATGGCCAACGTGGCGCATGTGAATGACCTCCATTTGCTTAAGTCCCCTGGAAAAAAACAAAAAATAATATTTCCAGTAGTGATAGATTCCCTTTAAAACCAACAGGGAAAAATAACAATATTCTTAACCAAATGGAAGATGAAGCCTAGCATATTCAAAGCTTGCAATTTCAGTAGCTGACGACTTGTCATCACGTGCACTGATGTTTTGACACCCTGACACTCCCAAGCCACAAATCTCGCAAGCAGTGCAAGTTTGCGCAGGGGCAGGGGCAGGGGTCAACATGGTGAACCTGGGTGGGTGAGGCAGCAAAAGCTTCTAGGAATGGCTCTGCTTGAGCTATTTAAACCATGTCCTGCGCAATTCTGTTGCTCGATTTACCTGATGCGAGCGGAGTCCCAGCCGGATACTGGGAACATGCCTCTTATTGCTTGCCTCCAACGCATGTGCCGTGTTGCTTTTGGTTGGGGTGGACGGGCAAGGAAGCGCCAACAGGGCAGAAGTACTCGCATCGATGTGTGCTAGTGCCATCCCCGTTGCGTGAGCTGTGCGCATGCCCAAGTGTTACCAAAGGAAAAGAATGCTCCAAGACAAATACAAAGGACAAGATGTACCCAGGTTCTTTATCTACTTGGTCGGCAACTCTCGCGCCTTTTGCGCGAGGGTCATAAGATCCGAGTAGCCTGGCAATGACCAACACGCTTGGCCATGAACTTCTCAAAGGACCCAAGGCCCCAAAAGACAAACCATGGGGAACATGTCGACATGCTAATCAAACATCTAGTATCTTCTTCGTCGAGATTTCCTTCACTACTTCATTTCTCAAGCACCATACCCTGAGCTCTCGCATCTTGAGAGTCAAACATTGCCTTCTCGGGAAAAACACTTGGCACTCGAAAGAGCTTTCAATTGAGCGCTAGAGCTGTGGAAAGTTGCGGGGCCAAGCAATGAGGCATTCTCTATGTTCATAACTGCGCCTTCGTGACAGCAAAAGAAGGGCAGCAGGCTGTCAAACAGCGTGACTCAATGGGTCAAAGGACATGCTGCAAAAGTGAGATCAAAGCCTTGGCTTGTTGGATCCAATGCGCGCGACATGTGCGCCTGGCCTTGACCATAGCTGTTCCGGGCTATTTCTGTCCCAGCTCTGTCTCCAAAATGGTTGTGGGCCAAAGCCATGTATTGCAGCTGCAAAATCCTAACTGAAACCTACAGGCATCCGTACAAACGCTGTCCGCTTTCAGAGTAGCAAAGGCGTGACTCCCCTGTCACTATTGAACAAACCGTCCCCATTCTTTAGGGGAAATCTAAAGGGGGATATCCAGTCCGTTTAAGTGAGCCTCTGCAAAACCATGTTCTTCACATGGGCGTGGCTTCTTTGCGGTTCCTGCCTGACAGCCGCGCACCTCGGACAGCATGCAGTTAGGCCCAAAAGACGACTCACCACATGAGCCCTTTAAGGAAATCCCGAAAAAACGGCCACGCACAACCAGTTGGGTTATTTGGGTGGGTATGCTTGCAAGAGGGATCCCTACAAGGCCCTACAAGTTGGCGTGCCTGGAAACCGGTACGGAACCGCCTTCTTGTAATAGGGCCTTTTGCGCCGAGTTGCTAGGGTCCTTCACGTTGGCCTTCTTCTTCATGTCGGCCACAGTTTGGAAGTACTTGCAGGCACCCTCGTCGCCTGACAGCCATGGGCCGAGGCAAGATTCATCATCACCACCATCATCATCGCCATCATCGTCAGGGAGCGCTCGGAATGAAGGATCCAACTTCCATGCCAGGCCATGAGTACGACTGACTCCGAAAACTTGCGCACCAAATCCACCAATCATAGTGGCAGTTGTTTGATGGCTGGCTATGATGGGCTGCGGCACCTGGCCACACCCATGCCCGCTGCATTTCTCCCAAACAAATAAGTCCAGTTGGACTTCGGTCCCCTGGAAACTGCCCACTTGAAATCGCTTTGGGAAGCAGCCACACTTCCTGAGCCCAATCAAGTCCAAACTTGCTGTGTACCACCAAATGGTCTTCCCAGAAAGTATAAAGTCCAGGCACTCGCGAAGTGAGTACCCACCCTGGGGCCGCGCGCCTTTGGTGCTAACTCCACCTGCCCAGGTCCACTTGTCGCCCTCCGTCTCCTTCTTGGCAATGCGACCACTGTCCAACTTCCACCTCAGGCTAAACGCCGGCGCCGAAAATCAGCCCAACACACCTCTCCAGGGTTCAGCGCCGTGACCCACCAGCACGCAAACAAAGCCGTGCAGTGCTCGGCTTGGAAAACCTGGTGGATGCCCTCTCCAATCCGGAACTGGGCATTTCATTGCCTGGTCCCCCTGTCACCCTCCCACCAAACATGACCGTTTGGTGCACAAGGATTCCCATCCCTTTCCATCCCATCGGCTTCCAAAGGGCGTCCGACATCGTGCAACATCGTCTTCCAGGTTCGTGGGGGTGAAACTTACCCACGAACCCCACTCGACTGACGCGTCCAAGCGGCGCCCGACCTTCATCCGCCACAACTGATCCCCATTTGGTGCCTCAGGCCGTGAGAAAACTGGGGAAGCGGACCATTCTGGTAGCTTCAATGGGGCCAAGTGACATCCTCAACTTGAATTGCCCTCTAAATCATGGTGGAAAAAAGGGAAATGCCTCACCGAATTGTTAATTTTGGACACCCTTCAAATCTCCTTGCCTGAGTGGAATTTGCGCCAGCAGCACAAAATAAATCGAAGTGAGAAATGTTTTCCAGCAGCGCACGCCTTGACCCAGTTCCATAGGTGACCTTGTGGAAAATAGATGGGCTTCCCTACCAACCGCCCAGTGCGACCCATCTATTTCTATCCATACTATCCGATCAAAAGGACGAGGTTCTATTTCTAAACCCGGGGGTTCTCCTTTTGATTGGTTAGATTGGCTGATTCGGGTTTCCACTAGTCCATCCATTTTCCAGCTCAGGCCGCGATGCTCCAAACCCTTGGGTGGAGACTGAGCCCTTTCGGACGCTCAAAAACCCATGCCATTGCGGGAACCCCATTTTTCGGGAAAACCCATCCATCCGCTTCACTGAGCGCCAGTGCTACCCTAAAACGGACCAGGACTTCAGGCAAGCTGGTCCAGATGAAGTTTACTCGCCCAGTGGCCCAGTTCACCGCATCCGCAAACCGCCTATTTGGACACAAACCCCCGTGGCCCAGTCCAACGCAGTGGCCCATTCTCCACGGAAACTAATCCATGGTTTAGCCAAAAATCGATGAACATCGTTGAAACCACATCCATTCTTAGCAAAAAGACGGCACGTGAGAAACTCCTTCCATTTTTAGAGGAAAAACAACAACCCCTGCCACATCCGTCGGCCACTCCGAAACGGGGCCAAAGCGCCATCCAGGCCGAAGATCGCGGAGCCCACGCCGAAGGAGCCCTTTCCGCGCTTCTTGCCGCTGGCGGCCACGCCGGTGACCGCCTTCGCCTTCTTGTCCGCTTCCTGTCGAAGGGGAAACCCCGGGGCCGGGCTTCTGTGTGGAACCTCTAAAAGACGCACTTACGGAAACCAGTCCAAAAATGGAACAAACCGTGTCCTTGTGTTTGTTTGACCGGGTTTCCTCCACTTCCCTTTTTGGGGAACAAACCGTGTCCTTTTGGCTTTTTGAACAAGACCCACAAAATGGTTTTTGTAGACTGGGCCCCGGGGCCCGTGGGTTCCCTTCCAGCGGAAGGCCTCCTTTGGTGCCCCGCCTCCATGACTTTCACGTTCAAGCCCTGCAGCACGCCCAGAACTGGCGCTGGGATCGCCTTCGCCGAGATTGCAATCTCGCGTGCGGGCCACACAATTGCGGCCGTGTCGCAATGACCAGTGCTTCAACCGCGCAACCGCTGCCAAGCAGAGTGAGTTGACTATGAACACTTTGACTGGGTTGTTCAAAATTGTGGGATCCCCAAGTCTAATCCAAAACCTGTACACCCAGAAGAATTCAGAACATATTCTTAGCAACCAAGCTCTAAACACACTGCTTCATTCAACAGGACCCTTCTCTAGCTGCCGCGCCTGCTCCACCAGCTTGCCTTGAGCTGCAGACAGGACGTGTCCAAGGCAATCCCAGAAGAAGATCTGGCAAGACGGCCCACATTTGGGTCTCTCTCTCCCTCTGTCTCTCTCTCTCTCTCTCTCTTTCACTCTCGCTCTCTCTCTCTCTTGAGACCTTGAGACCCTTTTGGGTGGTTTTACGGGGAAACTCGAGACCTTGGCCGTATAGTGAGTATACAGCGAGGAAGATACCATGCCTGGACAAATCGCAAACTAAGGAAACGAGCCATTTCAGGCGGGGTGTTTATTTAAAGACACACCCATTTGCACTTTTGAAGTAGGAAGTCCGTGACACGAAGTGCAGCAACTCGTGCAGGGACTCATTCGCGGGTCAGGGTTGCCCAGAAGTCACTGGAAAAAGGCCTAGCCATTTGGTGGCAAAAGCAAAGAACCTTTATAATCACCCATTTTCTACCCTTGAGATGTCCCCTTTTGAAACCAAAACAGGTGTACAGATTTGGTCATCTTTCAAAGGTCTTTTGGTTCAGTGACTCCTGCCAGGCCTTCCCGAACTTGGTGATCATGGACCCCAGCAGCTCCGACTCCCCGATGCCCGTGTGCAGCACCTGAAGCGAGCACATGGGGACCCACAGAAATCTTGGAGCCCAGTCTCAGGCGTCGGGGGACCCTGCTTTGCCAACCACAAACTCCCGTTTTTCGACCTCCATTGTACCTTAAAACAGTTTGGTGGTTGGAATAACAGGGTCCCACGACGTGTCCTTTGAAAAGCGACGTGGGAAACACTTGGAACCAAATTAAGCCCAGGGCCGCTGATAATCAACGAACATCGCCCAAAAGGACACCTACGACCTATGGTCTTGGGCTAGGCGCTGGTGGGTTTAACCTAAGTCTTTCCTTCGCAAACATTTCCTACCTGCCACCAGCCTCCTAACTTGAGGCAACCTCTACCTCCATCTCCGTGCCAGCTTTTCAACACTGGCACGGCTATGAACATGGAAAAGCCAGGCTTCTAAAAATGTTGCGTTGCCCGACAGAAACTGTCCCAAGTCCACCTTCAATGCTTCTCACAGACATGGGTGTGTGTCAGAACAGGAGGCCCTAACAAAGGTGAAGAAGGTACCAATTCCAGAAACCACGCACTTCCTGAGTGGATGCCCCACACAAAAACTCCAAATCGTTTTACTACTAAACTGGCCTTCCCAACAAGTTTTAAAGTCTAAGGAACTCCGGGAGTGAGTTCCAAATGTCAAGGAACACACACTTATATCCCATGGTCTTCCCACCAAGGAAACTCAGGGGCTGACCCAAAAACCAAGGAACACACGTCTAGATACATATATATATATACATATATCTATATACATAAAACGTCTCTTGCCGAAGCGCCATCAGCAGGAACTGGACGTGGGGCACCGCTTCTTCCTGCAGCTTCAGGAACTGCAGCCAATCGATGGGCACCGGCAACGAGGCCTGCGAGGGGCGGCGACTTGGCGCTCGGAGGGCGGCCAAAACCCCAGACCTTTCTCATGCGAAGCAAGCTGCGGGCGTGTCTCCTTCTTGGGCTGCTGCCCCCCCCCCAACTTGGTGGTATGTTCTTTTGTTTTTTGTGCTTCCCCCTTTAATACAAGACAACCCATGCCTTTGTTCATGATACCTTCCTGTTCACTAACATGGAACCCACCGGAACCCACCAGAGAGTCCCTTGTAAGACATGGTCCTCCAGGACCTCAGGACATTGTGTAAGTTTCCATGTGGACAGGATGGGTATCTACGTCTCTCTTTTTGCAGGCTTTACTATCCCTGTCAAACCAGTGCTGACCCCGGAGTAATAAGCCTCGGTTTATTCACATGGGTGTCCCCTCCAAAAGTGATATGACTCCCCTCTCAAACCGGCCCCCTATATTAACAGAACAAATGTTAAATGATACGGGGTCAACTTCAGAACAACCCACTAACATGACCTACACGGGTTGGGCGTTCCACAAGCCACTCCCAAACAGAGCACCGTCAAACTCCCTTTTCCCAAGAAAATCGATTGGGGGTCTACCCACTCATCAATCTGCAAAACTGAGAGTACATGGACCAATGATAGCTGATATACTCCGGTGCTTATGTGGGGCGAGCAGCTTCCCATAGCTTCCCGGCGTGGAAATGGTTGCCCGACACCAACGTGACAACTTCAGTATACTGTTCAAGGATGGAATGGCCGTAAACCTGTGTTTTCTATGATGGGACCAGCGGTGCCAGGATCAAAAGCCTGCGTCGCAATCAGAAGAGCGATTGCCAGTTGTACAAATATGAACATTTCGAGAGGGGGCTGTTCGGCGCTCGGGCTTTCGTCAGATGCAAAAGCTGCCAGTTCATCCAAACAAATCAACGCTCCCCTTTTGAATGTACCCAGCATGAGCCCAGGTATCCTCAAAAGCTGAGTGGGAAACGCGACTTTGTGCCCTCCGAGCACCATGAAGTAGAAATGCGGCCTATCACAAAGTGATGCGTAAGCGCATCGTAGTAAGGTGGATCACAAAGTGCCCGTGTGGGGAACGAAGCGCTTGCTTGCTGCTTCCCCGCGTAAACCCGGGGTTCGGGCATGTTCGTCACGTTGCTGACAGGAAGCCCCGACAACCAACGCCGATGACTCGTGAAGATCCAAAGCATCGCCACCACCGAAAACCCAACTAACACCCAGCACCTCATGCAGAGTGTTTGCGCTATAAAATGCTGAACCCGGATTAATTGACCTGGCAGTGTATTAGGGGTGTGTTCCCTAAAACATGTTGGAATGAGAATGGTGCTTCTCTTGGGTCCACATGCAATACCCTCCTGCTGTTAATATGGAATCCAGCAGAGCGTCCAGGTTAAAGGAGCATTGTCTTTCTTCAGTCAGGTCCATGTTAGTGGCCAGGAAGGTATGCACTAATTTAACCACCTGAAATCAATAAGTCCGGGCACCCTATGAAATCCGAGCGACCTGCCATGAAAATGTGTTCAGTTGCCCAAAAAGGGATGCTTGGGCTCAGATCGATCTGGTCGATTCGCTTTGAACCCGAGTGCATCTTTACCATGACCATCCCTAGCCACAAGGCAAGGGGTCTTGGGGGGAACCGCTTTTTGGCCGGCTACAGATGGACCCCAAAAGGAAAACCCGCCCATTTTTGGGCTCCAACGACCCCCGCCCGCGCTGGTGTGTATTTTTGTTTCATCGCCCGATCCCGATTTCCCTTTCCGCCTCGGGCGTGATCTCCCGGGTCCCCTTCTGCCTGCTCTGCTTCTCGAGGCTGCCTCAGCTTCTTTTTCAAAGGACCGTCGGCCGAACTTTCCTCGGGCGAAGCTGAAGAAAAAAAGGAGAAAAACACGTACATGAACCGAAAACCGGGGAGTCTTAGACTCTTAGGGTCCTGGACTGAGCAAAAAGTTGGATGATTTGTTGGGACCAAATCCCGCGACATCTTTCTCCACTCCCGAACCTATGTTGAACTGACCCGGTGGCTCCCTTGGCGACCTCCCTGCAGCATTTCCAGCTCCAGGTTGCCTGTGGAAGTAGGACCCCGGGTATCTACCAATCCCCAGGTCCAAACGCATGCCAAGGTGCCCATTTTCTGAACCACCGTCTGCAGCAGCCCGATCTCCGAATATCCTGTGGCATTCCATCCGCAGATCAAAGTGGCTACTAACGCGTTGGCTCCACTTTGGAACCTCAGTCCTCCCGAGAGTCTCCTTAAAGGGGCCCAAAACGGGTGATGCTCAAAACCCAGCGACATATTTCCGCCGAACCCGGGTGAGTCATGCGCAAGACATGCGCGCGCGGGCGCTTGCGCCTTCCAAGTGCTCAGTGAGGGTGTCGAAGGAGGTCTGGATCACATCCCTGGACCGCGCATCTGCCAGCAGCACCTTGAACATCTCCGCCGCTTTCACTGGCCCCTGGCGGGGCGAAAAATGGGTGTCGAAATCGGGGAACCCTCTCCCCTCCCCACAAAAAATCAGAAAGCAAAGGTGTGGTTTCTTGGATTTAGTTCAAAGACTGAAACCAACAAGGGAACCCTGAAAATAGGATAAAAAACAACCCGAAATATTCGCCCATGCCTGCGCATGTAGGAAACAACCCCTTTCAAAGTGGTATCCCCCCGGTCTCACCGACACCGACGACCCTTTGCACCGGAGAATTTTGCCTCGTCCTCCTTCAGCAGATACTTCTTGAAGACGCTCTTCATGAGCTCGTCCTCGGGCTCCCGTTCGCTGGCCGGGCAAAAACCGGCACAGCCCACATGGGACAAGAAAGGCACCGCTGTGGCACCGCGTTGATTGGCTGATGTTTTGAAGGGAACACCCCAACCCATGAAGAGTTGCACAAAGGAAATGCACTACTTGAAGACTGGGGGCCCCAATCAAGGTGCAGCTGCTCTTCAATCCCGGGTAGAACTTGGCTTAGAACGTGCTGTCTCCCACTGACATAGCAACTGTGGGAGAGTTCTTGGAAGACCAAGTTCCCCTTGGAGGGACCATTTCCCTATCAGGTGCCATGTTGGTGGAAGGGAGGGTAGCAAGCTTTGAACCAACAATTCTCTCAGGGTCCGACCCCTACAACTCCGAAACATGAGTTGGCCAAAGGCTGCTTGGCGTCATGGCGGCCGTTGCTCGACTTGCAGATGTCGCTTTGGATGAACTTGTACGCAGGAGTTCCAGCCTGGAACAACGGCACAACACACACACACAACGAGGAGTGACATTCTGCGAACCACCCTCCAAGTCGCAAACTCAGAAAAGGAAACCGGCCGCAAGAGTAATTTTGAGAGCCCCCCTCAATTCTCCGTTTGAGGGAGGGAAGCGCACAAAAACGACAAGTTACGCACAGCAGCTTAGTTCAGCCGAGAGCAGCTTTCCAGAATCCCTTGCTTTTGACCTTGCCAGCAGTTCGTGCTTCCAAGTTGTGGGGGTCCAAGCCAGAAATGCTCCCAATTTTGTCTCAGGACAGCTGCGCGGCTTGAATGTTCGGATATCTGCGACCTCCTGCGCAATGTCTTGAGGCTGGGATCCCACGACTTCGCAATGTCCAGGCCGGCCCTCAGGTGACCCTTTCTGCTTGCACCTCCCTGAACCCGCCGAAAGGCAAATGAAAGAAAAAACGTCAACTTCATGCCCCTGCCCCCCCCCCCCCCGAGTCAAATCGGTTTTTCGGTTTCGCCTGCCTCAAACTCCCCGAGCACCTTGAAGAACTGTTCCACTGCCAGGGGCGGGGGCAAGCGCCTGGCAATCAAAGGCACCAGCAACGAATTCAGCTCAAGGGCGGAAGGCGCTCGCGAGGAAACACATGGCGCGGACGCATCCGCGCATCCGTACGCCCAGACGCCCCTAACCCGGCAACTGTGCCACCAAGAGCACCTATCTACGATACAGACTAAAATGGCCATGATGGTGGGTCCAAATAAATAGGCATTGTTCCTGGGGCCATGAAAAGTGACATCCGAGATTTCCGTCTCAATGGTGGTCGCGTTACGAAATCCTGCACCAGTTTCAAATCATGGAGACTCATTCTTGGTTTGCAGGGGCATCGAATCATTTCAGGGTTTCTTAGGTTTCGTCCATCAACATTATAGTCTAAACCCACAAAAACGATTTAGAACCATCCCTTCCATCTGAACCCGCGGAAATCCTACCCGGACGTGGCGCAACACCAGTCCGGGGCCGCCGGCCTGGTGAAGAGCTTCAGGAACTCCGTGCAGCCCGTCGGCTTCTTCTCGGAGTTTGGCCCACCCGTGGCCACCAATGGACCCACCAGCAGCTCCTGCCGGTCGGAGCGGCCTCGGCTCACCGGGCGAGCAAAAAAGAACAGAAGGCGAAGGCTTACCGCAAAAACTTCAAGGGGAAAGGAGAAACCATGGTTCACTTACGATTCAGGGGAAAGGAGAAACTTACATTTTTTTACATACTGAGAAACATAATTAAGCCGAATGGTGACAGCCGTAGATTATACAAGTATGAGAAACCATGGGAAGGCTGCTCCCGCCTAGTTTCACCCGACTACTACTTGCGCTGAGTGAATGGTGGTGGAAGGGCTCACCCCCTAAGGGACTTCTGCCTGCAGGCCCAGGCGCCTACGTCAGACAGGATCGTCCAAAATGCGTTGATCAGATTCGTGATCTCGTTCTGGCGATGGTCATCCGATGCGAAGCTCGGCAGCAGATCTGCAAACCTCTCAGAGCGTCTCGCTGGCTCGTGACAAAACCGGAAAATTTGTGGTGGGCGCGCGACTTCGACCAGAAGTATCCCAAATGCAGCAATCCAAAATCAAAGGAAGGATCCCCAACAACTTGCATGTACACACGCGTTGTCTGCCGCAGAACGTGTAAAAGCAAGCACGCGACGTACCATCATTAGAGCAGATAGGACCTCCGTGTTGCGTTCACAGGGTCCGCAATTAGATTCCTACCCTTGTATGTGATGCCTCCAAAGGACAGCTGTACCTCCCCCCCCTCAACCCGGCTGCGCAGTGACCCTGGTAGAACGGGGTTGGGCTTGGACTGGGCCCGAACGAGCATTTCGGCTACCGGCAGCTCACCATTGAGCCCTTGGCTTCACATGGCCGGCTTCCCCTTGAAACCAAAGGGTACCAGCCCTTTGGAACCGCTTCCCCACCTGGCCGGCTTTCCCTTCGCAAAGGGTACCGCCTCAAGACGAACCCCCCCAATGGTCCCAATGGTCCCAATGGTTGCCGAGAGGCCGCTGAGCCACGCTGGCCTTCTTGTGGCCCTGCGGCAGCACCGCCCAAATCCTTGGTCGCGCGTCCGCCGCCGGCCCCGTCTTTGGGAGGGAGGGCTCCAAGTCTCAGCTTCCCTCTGACTGGTGGTTGGAAGGAGGGGTTTCCGTTCCATTTGTCTGCACGGCAAAATCGAGCTGGAAGTTCTAGGGCCATCGCTCCGAGCCAGTCCGTTGTTGGGTAGGCATTTTGACTCAGCCCTGGGAAAAACCGACTGGCACCTGCTTTTTCTGTGATTTACATCTGAAGAAGCAACCAAACTGGAGCAACTGGAAGTGTTCGACGCTACACCCCTATTCGGAGATGCAACGACTGACAGCTGGACCCATCCAGCCCAGGCTTCTTCATCAACAGCGCGATCTTCTTGTTCACCGTGAGGGCATGACGCGTGGAGTGCGTCGACATGATCTCGCCCCCCAGGCGGATGACCTGGTCCACCCCCGGCAGCGCGTCCTTGTCGCCTGTAGCGACAAGAGCCACAAGGCAAAGCAGCGAACCAGCCACTCCTGTGGCTTTTGTCCCCAACAATCAGGGACCCCTCAAAATGGGTTGGTGTCCTTTGCACTTCCTTTGAAAACCAACCAAAACAAACTAGCCTCCAAGGAACACGTACATTGTTGTACACGAACTCCTCATCACCATTCAAGCAATCTTTGGTAAAAGGGTGGTTGGCCTGCCTTCCTGGAAGGAACCGCACAAAACTATCCCAGAGCTCGAGTTGCCTGCGCCTAAATCCTTCGAAACTTCCTACGATATGAATAGCTGGCAAGAGCCGACAAAACATCTCGAAATCGGATTGGGCCGAACAACGTCTTGCAGCTTGCAGGTGATAGCTCCAATGTCACAATTATCCGAAAGGCAGGAAAGACACGGCAAAGAGCGCCACTGTGGAATGCATGCACTGCGGCCATGAGTGCGGGTTGTTACGTCCCCAGGGCGCCCAGCATCGCGGAACACGTCCCGCCATCCCGTTGTGCTCACATGTGGCTGTGGGTCAAAAAACTGGTACCAAATTTAAAATGGAACCCTGTTAAGCGGAAAAATGGACCAAAACCTGCGTAACCCCTCCGGTTTAATTTTGAGCCACACCCACGTTGTTCTCACACGGCAAGGAAAGCGATACCAAAGATGACTGCATCTCATCGCCTGCAACATGCAAGCTGGAAGCCGGGGTTCCCTGACAGCTGACCACAGGAAATCGGTATCAACTCAAAAATAGGACCCACTTCTTCGGTTTCCCTCTGCCATCCCTCGTCCAAGCACCTCATTTACGGACTTGGGAATGTGTAACTGACAGCTTCCCTTCAACACCCGAGACCATAAATATGGGATTCCTTGGACCAATGGGCTTCCTTGGACCAATTTTCTGTTTGTCGGCCCCAGGAAAAAAAAATATCTCCGGATTGCCCGTCCGAGTTTCACACATTTTCCCCCGCTCGGCCTCCGCCTGCGCCTCGGCCTCGGCCCCTTCCAGCGCCCTTCATCAGCACCATGCCTTTGCCTCGGCCCTTGCTGACATACTGCCCTCCGCTTCCCGTCCTCGGTTTGGGGAAAAGCAAGGGGGATGTGTGTGTGTTTTTTTTTGTGGTTTCCCAAGGTCATCCCATGCATAGCATATAGTTTCCCTATGTTTTGATCATTGGATTCCCTTTGGCTTTTTTTTTGGGGAACCCGAAAAATGGCGACTCTAAAGCTAGCACATCATGACGTCCACGTGGAGCACCCACCCCTAAGGCCGTCTCGCACAAAAGAAAGTTCGGCTACGTGTGGCATTGTGCCCGGAGGTGGACCCCTCAATTCTTCCAACACCGTTTGACTCGCCAAGCTCAAGGGAAGAAGCCCGTCCGGGTTGAAATAATATATATATATATATATTAAATATATTTATTTGTCTATGTGTTTTTTTCTTATTGGGATGCCGTGTTGTTGAGTTCCATCGACTGAATTTCCGGGGGGATCCTTGATTATCCGCCAACTGTTCCTTTTGAGGCGTCCGTTCAAGTAACATTCTCAAAATTACCCTCTTGATGGCGGCTTAGAGGAAACCACCGACACGCAAACGTAATTTTGATAACCCCTCCAAATGTGTTTCCTCTCTGAACGGCAACACATGATCAAGGCAGGACTCGCAGGGCCTTGTCTGGCAGCGAATGTTGCTTTGCCGTGGCAAGTTTTGTTCCAGCTATCTCTCCACCCCCTAAAAGACTTGGCCGGGCACTGACAAGAAACCCAAAAAGGAGCCAAAGGACGTGCCGCAGAGAGAATTGCTTCACCGAGTTCCAGACTAGCGCAAATTCAAGGCTTTCGATACCCAACAGGCCTCTCCAACTAGGTTTTCATAAACTTCATAAACCATTTGTGTGTTGCTGTATGTTTTCACCGCGAAAACCAGTATGTCGATCGAGGCAATGAAGAGCCATCCTGCCAAACAATCTTTGTCCTAGGTTCTGCTAGAACTCCCTCACCGTCACAAGACCAACCAGCAGCTCGGGCCATTCCAAGCCCAAATCCACCCAAACAGCAACGAGTCACCAGTGGCAGGCAGTCTCAAGTGAAGGCTCCGGACAAACCGGAAAATAGACCATCTATGACCACTCTTCTTTGGCGCAAAGATCCAACTGCTTACTGTAAGCCCTGGTATTCGGAAAACCGCCGGCATGGATTTCCCTTCGCCGAAGCTCGTGCCCTTGTGGGTCATCTCCTCCACCAGCTGCAGCATCATCTCGGGCTTCCGGCGCCAACCCCAGTGCGCCAAGGTGGAGAAGAAATCCTCGAGCTGCGCGCGTCGCTGGGGTCACTTGGTTGGCTGCTGGCTTTTGGTGGGCGATTCAGCGTGGTTCTCAGTTGCATGGTGCATGGTTCTGTGCATGTTCCCCTATCCCCGGACAGACTTTGAGCGGCCTCAACCATGACTAGCCAAAGGCCACAAAGAGTCCGGAGGTCGACCAAACGACCAAGCCCGTGCGCAAGCCATGTTCGAACCGAAGAACAAACATGCCCAAATCGCCAAACAAAGCAGCCTCGAACAGGGCGGATGTACAGCATGTACAAACACATCCCAACACAGCAAGCATATGAGCCCATGCGCAACCCCCAAACAACACAAAGAAAACAGACATGTACGCATTTCCGGCATTTCTGTTTTTTAGATTCGGGACAGCATGTTTGTAGGTTGTTAGGTTGTTTGAATGTATGGCTCTGTTGCCAGTTGTCTGGATCATGTTTAACGGCGCGGAGACGGTAGCTCTGTCGTGCTGCAAATGCTGTGAGTGGACATCTGTCAACGAATCTGGATAGCAGGTCCTCCCGATTGATCCGCAGTTAACATACCGCTCTTGTTTCCTTGGTGATGGCTTCAGCAAAGCGCTGGGGAACTGGCGTGGAGCTGACGCTGTGCGACTTTGCAAGCGGGGCATTGACATGGTATGCCGCAACTTGCACACAGATTGATGTGTGTGTGTGTGGGCTTGTTTGCTTGCTTGTTTGCTTGCTTTCTTGTTTGTTTGTTCTGGGTTGTTTGTTCTTGTTTGCTTGCTGTCGTGCGTTGCTGTTGTATGGTCGGTATTGTTTTTGTGTGATTGCGTTTGTTGTTTGTTGGTTTGTTGATTGGCTCGGTGCCTTTGCGAACCAAGGGAAACCAACAGGGTTACCCAGAAATCCCCGTTTTCGCGGTCCAACTCCCTTGGGTCTTGGGTCAATCGGTCACCCAAAAATGGGTCTTGCTGGAAAGCCCGGGGCCTGGTCCCTTCCCATTTTTGACGCATGTCCTGGTTCTTCTTGCTGGGGCAGTAGCCCGCCTTTGGCCCAGAGCCCTGGGTGTGCATCTCCACCAGCGTGGCCCGAAGAACCGGCATGGGGTCCTGGGGTATTCGAATGGACACCTGCGTCCGACGAAACCCGCCTGGGCTGCCCGTTTTCAGATCCCCTGCTAAAAGTGACTAACTTGTGGATGAAATGGAAACCAGCACTAAACACGAAAAGGCTAAAAAGCTAAGGGGATGGCTGGGAGCACCAAGCCACCTGAGCGTTACCTTTTCTTTGGCATGCCGCCATGGCAGTCATCCACCCTGAGAAGTCTTCCCCATAAACAGGAAAATGAAACCGGACTTGGAGATATCCAGGGGTCGAAATCACCCCTCCCCCAATTCCATGGGGATGGAATCGTCGTTTCTCAGGCCCAAAGCTCAGCTCCAGCTGTCCTGCTCGAGGATCTCTGTGACCCAGTACCAGCGCCACCTCAACGCGCCGTTGGTGACCAGCTTCACCATGAAGGCGGGGAACCTGCGCGCCAGCTGCGGCAGGCCGGGCACCTGCAGGGATCGGCCTGACTGAGTGAAGGCAGACCAAGCATGAACCAGTACTCCCAATGAAAAGTCGGCTTCCAGGGGCACCAGTCGGCTGCCAAGGGCACCAGTGCAACCATGGGAGGGTGAGGCAACTCGCCTGGCCACACTAGCACTCGGGCACTGGAAGCGACCAATAGCTCGCATGTCATTCAGCGGGCATGCTGGTGGAAAAGGCCATCTCTTTGTACTTGTCAGTGAGAACAAAACGGGCCATCGGCACCACTGTTCAATCACTTTCAAGGGAAGGCATGCCTTCACACCGCAGAACGTGGCCCTGCAACCCGCATTTTCCACACGCTCCAGGGGTTTGAGCTTCAGCTCTGGCAGAATGAGCGCTGAATGGGCCCTTTTTTCTGTTTTAGCAGGGGACCCTCCCCCAAAAAAAGAAGGGTAAAAGGGATTACTGGGGGGACCTAGTCAGGCACCCCTCCCAGCTTCATCGACGGGTGACCTGACGCCTCGCCTTGTCGCTGTGCTTGGCGCTGAGCCAATCTCTCATCGGCTTGTCCTCCTCGAGGTACTCTTCCAGAAGCTCCTCCGCATGACGGGGCCCCCTGAACATCACTTGGGCCTACTTAGTCAGAAGACGGGGGGTCTAGGTTGGACAGGACTTGCGAATAGTTCAGTTTAGTAGTGTCGATTCTCAACTAAGTATTGCCAAGACTTACTCTCAAACAAACTGCCCCTTGAAGTGTAGACTGAGGCTTTGATCTCGGGAAGTCACACCTGCCCAACAAAGCTTGACATTAAAGTGTCCCTCGAAACATCCAGACTAAAGAGGATCAAGGGCTCTTGTGGAGTATCCAGTGACCGTTTGCTTTACTTTTTGTTGAGGGGATGTATACAATATAAATACATGGCTTGAGGACCGTAAACCGTAGGTGTAAAACCGAGTCTCCCATTCTATAGCAGGGTCAGGTATGACGATCGTAAGGGCCCGACACCCGACACTCAGGGGTTACATAGGGAGATGCATGCTTTTTAACCATCGCAAAAAGAGGCCCTCAAAGGAAGATACGCCCATATCTGGTCAAGGGTTCGCAAGTGCCCACCCCCCCCATGGTTCCCAGTCCGTCCCCCCCCCCCCCCCTCCACCCCCGTGTTTGGAGCCCGGAACCATCTATGGCAACTTCTCCTCTGACTTGGAGCGTGCGAGGAGCGGCCAGAACTGCTCCTTGTCCTTCTCTCCTGCCAACCAAAACCAAAATTATTGAGGCCCGAGAAATTCCGAGCGAGAGAAATTCGACCGACCAAAAACTAGATGCTCAGTCAAACATGTCAGCTTGGCTTGGCTTATACCCTGAGGCATGATACAAGTCAGGGGCCAACAGATCAGCGGCTCAGCGGTGCCGAAAATCCGAAGGCACAAGTCGCTACCCGGTACCCTCCAAGAAATGGGTGTCTCTGTGCCTGCCTCTTCTTCTTGCTGGGTGCCCTTCTCGGGGTTAAGGAAAACCAGCCGGGTTTCTCTGAAGCTCATTTGGTGCAAGCCATGCCCCCTATGGTCAGATTTCTCTTTGGAGCCATGACCTTTCCTTGGCAAGCTCAGGTAAGCTTTCTCGTGTTGTAAGAAAAGGGGAGCTAAAGGGAAAACCTGATTAGCGAAGCCCTGTTGCTGAATAAGCGGGTCCCAGTTCAAAGACACTCCTTCACTTTTTGCGGAGAAAACACATCTCCCTCTGTCCTTCTGCCAGGGTGATTTTTGTTTTTTTAAATCCCGGTTCGACATTATCGTTCTTTAGTGGTACCCCACTCTAGGCCAACCAGTCCTTCTCCCAAACCGGAGAACCTTTAAAGGGATCAGGTCAAGGACCTTGGCCTTCATGGTCCATGATGGTTTTGACCGCGTGGCTCGCAGCAAAGACACAAAAAACATGGGATGCCGGGGCGCCAAAGAGCTCAAAGGCGTGCTCCAAGACCTCTTTGTCGGACTCCAAGGAGTCGCACTGCAAGAGGAACTTCTTCATCTTGCGGCTGGTGTCGCCTAAACAAATCACCGGACCGGTCAACGTGTTGCTGGAGTTCGAGATTTGTGGGTGGAGGGAGGCACCGTTGTGTTGGAGGTACCCCCCCTCCCTTGCATTCAGGGGCTCGTGAGCCTGCTTGAACGCGCGTTTGATCATCACATTGCCGCCTGAGTCATCTTATCCCCAGCTGGGGGGTTCCTCTGAATCCTCGCTAAGGTGAACCGGGTGAATGGATGGATGGGTGGATGGGTGGATGGGTGGGCGGATGGACAGATGGACGGATGGGTGGATGGGTGCATGGGTGGGCGGATGGACAGATGGACGGATGGGTGGATGGGTGGATGGGTGGGCGGATGGACGGATGGACGGATGGGTGGATGGGTGGATGGGTGGGCGGATGGACGGATGGACGGATGGGTGGATGGGTGGATGGGTGGAGGGGTGGGCGGATGGGTGGATGGGTGGATGGGTGGATGGGTAGATGTGTGGATGGGTGGATGAGTGGATGGGTGGATGTCGATGTTTGACTTTTGACCCTGAACTGCGGGGCTTGGTTTAGGTTTCCCATCAGGCCAGAGCCTCAGACCGGGAAGCCTACCGCTTCAGCCTCCAAGGGCGCCAGCCCTTCGATCCCCGGCCTTCCAACCAACCTGCCTTTTGACCGATCAATTTCACCTCTGAAATCGGCCCGACTAGTCCTTCACCATGTTGGCTGACTGATATCCCCAAAAAAGCAGTCCGCTTGGGGTTCAACAAACAACACGATACTTCGACATACTTCGACCAATCCCAAAACAAACCAAACAACCACAAAACACAACTTCGGCCCGTTTGTTGTCTCTAACAAAACAAATCCTCACCGAGGAGTCCCGAAGTGTCCCGGAAAAAAAAAGGGAGAAAAACAACTGCCGCCGAAGCCACTGGAGAGAAAGGCCGCCCGCGCATCCTCGGGCTTGAGAAGTCCGCCCGTCGCCGCAGAGAAGCCCACGGTCTTTGAAGGGGAGTCCAGCAGCTTCTTGGCGTAGCCTGCTGGGTTCGCTGTTGGAGCTGCTGGGCTGGGGTTGTCGTTTTTTTTGTTGAGGGGGGTTTGTCGTTGATTCTTTTTCTGGGGGGGGGGTGGGAGCTACTGGTGGAGGAAATTCATGTCGCACCACTTAAAATGCCCGGGATTTGGTTGGATTCCCCCGTAAATACCCAACAAACTATGGTTTCAACCATGGTTTCAAAGTGGTGTAGGATTTCGTCCATCCACAGTGGGCTGGTGGGCTGGGATTGTTGTTCGTGTTTCGGCTTGTCGTTGTTCTTTCCTGAGGGGGGGGGGACCGGGTACTTACCCCTTTGAGCTTGGATTGAAATGAAACCCATTCATTAAAGTCGATGATTCCTTTTTTTGGATCTGGTCGTGCCATTTTGACACTCGAGAATGAAGGGACTAGGGTTGTATGTGTGTCTGTGTGTGTTTGTGCGTGCGTGCGATGTTATTGCCACTAAGCATGCGGCCTGTCCATGGGTCTCATGAAACTCCCATGAGCCAAGCCACGTGACATGTTCGACAATGAGGGGGATGGAAATGCGTGCACCTAATTGGTAAACCACCCTAATTAATGCTAACCTTCTCCACCCCCAGAGTCCCTCAACAAGGTTGCCAAACTTGGTTGGCTTATTGTTTTTCACCTCAAAAATTGCTAAATTGGGGGGTGGTTCCAGGAGGACTCTCCAAAAGATTGACTTGCTGCACTTGAGGGGGGAGGGGCGGAGGGCAAAGAAACAACAATCATTCGTGTCAAGTTCAAGTGCATTGCGTCCCCTCTAAAATCACACGCCTCAACTTTCGCGGGTCTCATATGAATCCAGTCGGCCGTCTC